TGTGTAATATCACATAAGCCTCGTAAGTCAGTTGGTCGAGTTACCATGGAAACGAATTAACGTTTCCATGGTAACGTTATTTTGACAGATTAAAAATTATTAAACTGTCAGTGTAAATATAGTGGTAATTTAATTTTTATTTTTATAAACAAAATAATGGTAGAAAAAGTATAGTACACAACTTGAGTTGTAAGATTATTACATGCTTGTAAAATTACTGCGCTTGCCGCTACGCGGCTCGCGCGCAACTTTTTTACTCGCATGTAATAAGCTTCTTACAACTCTCGTTATGTAATATACTATTAAGCTATACGATTAGACCAAACTAGAGAATTCAGAGCATATACACTAATTTGTTTCTGTTAGACTTCTATCATCCATTTTTGGATAAAGACCTCTCCAAACTTCTTCCGTCGATCTTATTTCTGAACTCCTTCCGTCGATCTCTATTCTGAACAACATTCTTCCCAATTTGTTCCGGTTATTCTTTTTATGTCATCTACTCATCTTATCTGGGATCTTTCTCTCGGTCATTTACCATTGTAAAGTCTCCAATTTTGTATTGTGGCGTTCCAAATGTGGTCTTTTAGTCTAGCAGTGTGATCTGCGAAGCTCTATTTGAGTTTGTCAATTTTTGTTGTGATATCTTAGACCAAAGAATATAGACGCTTATAAGCGTCTATATTCTTTGCTTAGACTTTTGTTTTCACCTTACCCACCCCCCTTCCTCTTTTTATCTGACAGTCATATACCTAACATTGCTCTTTCTGTTGTGGCTAGTTTATTCATATTTACGTTGGAACTTTCAGAATTTGGCCTAGGTAGATATATTCCTGGACTTGTGTTCTATCTCACTGCCATTTATAGTTATACCTCTGGGGTCGTGTGTGTTTATCATTGTTTTTGTTTTTGTCATGTTCATTTTTAGTATGACGTAATTAGTATGAACAAGAATGGATAGGAGAAGTAATGACGCAATAAAGCAAAGAACATCAATAGAAACAGACATACTAACATATATAGAACAAAAAAGACTAAAGTGGTATGGACATATAAGAAGAACTAGCGACAGCAGATGGATAAAGAGAATAACGAATGGAGCCCTATAGGAAGGAGGAAAAGAGGACAACCCCGAAGATCCTGGAGGAACGAAGTAAACGACGCCATGAGTAAGAGAGGCCTAAACGATGAAGAATGGCACAACAGAGAGAGATGAAAATAGGTGAGCGAGGGAAGGCAGTGAATACTGTAGAACCCCTGAACATGCTAACTAGCTTACTAAAATATAATTACAACAACGTTCTTAAAGTATGATTTTTTGTCAACAACCTGATTGAAATAATATTAAATAAACAAAGAAAAATAGGTAGCAACAACATGCGGTGTTCCCAAGCGGTCACCCATCCAAGTACTAACCGCACCCGACACTGCTTGACTTCGGTGATCGGACGAGAACCGGTATATTCAGTGTGGTATGGCCGTTGCCGACAATAAATGAAAAAAATTGATAATTTTGGTTTGTTATAGGTAAGCATATTTCAAGTTTAACATAGTACCCCAGTAATATACGATAGGTATACCTACGAATTATTGACTGATTATATCGGGCAAGTTAGAACACCTGCCCAATGACACAAAATAGCTTTATGATTTTCATGTTGTTTATAGGTATTTAAATAATGAAAAGTTTGTGAGTTTTTCTATAGTTTATGCTTTAATACTAACATTTCTTGCTTCAGAACACTTTGCTTATATGAAATACATCTAACGGAAGTGTGTCAGTATAGTGAATGATTGCTACTTGCTTAATTTGCTATTATTTAGTATCATTCTATTGTGTTTCAGTTGTTTATTATTTGTTTTATTTGACCCATCATCACCTGATGATGGGTCACCATCATCACCTGATGATGGGTCAAATATTGTAAGCCTTGAAACCGGTAGCCTAAAACTTACCATTTTTAAATAATAAAAACTACTTAAATAATAAAAACTAATTTTGAGCATTGACTCATTTCTTGTATACTGGTATTATGGACTAACATTAGCAACTTTTTCATCGTGTTTTACTTTTATTTTTATCTTGAGCTTCTTGCATCCAATTACTGGTGATGAGTTTTATATCATCCGTCTGTCTAGTCGGAGAACATCTTCTGCTTGGATAGGCCTCTTGTCTTGGTCGCCATTCCATCTATCATCCGTCAGTCTGGCCATCTATTCGACCCAATTTCATGTGGCCATGGCTATTCTTTTAACTGCATCCATAACTCCTCTTCGTCTTCTCCTTTTTATGTAGACATCATCAATCAGCCAATCGCGTCCACTGCTGGACATAGGCCTCCCTCAGTTCTTTCCAGTGTTCTCTACACTGGGCCGCTTGTAGCCAGTTTCCCGCTACACGTTTTATATCATCGGTCCATCTAGTCGGTGGTCGTCCTCGGCTTCTTTTATAGTTTCTGGGCCTCCATTCCATAATACGTCTTGTCCACCGTCCATCTTGTGCTCTAGCTAAGTGTCCTGCCCAGTTCCACTTAAGCGACGTGGTTCTTTCGATGACATCTTGAACTCCTGATCTTTGCCTGATTTGTTGGTTTGTTGTGTGGTCTCGGAGGCTCACGTTCAACATTGCACGTTCCATGGCTCGTTGCGTAACTCTGAGTTTATTCGCAGATTTTTGCGTGAGTGTTAAAGTCTCCGCTCCATAAGTTTGTACAGGTAAAACACATTGGTCCTAAACCTTTCGCTTGAGACACATGGGAATTGAACTTTTTCGAATATGGCTTAATTTGCCAAATGCTGCCCAAGTTAGGCCTATTCGCCTCTGTATTTCATGTGTTTGATTGTCTCTGCTTATTTTGATTTCGTGTCCCAGATATTTGTAAGTGTCTGTTTGTTGTATGTTATTATTGTCAATAGTTATATTTCCACTCATTACGAGATTTGTCATAAGTTTAGTTTTCTCAAAGTTTATCTTTAATCCTGCTCTTTCAGACAGACTTTTAAGCGAACGCATCATATAAACTGTATCTTGCAAATTATCTGCGATTAATACAACATCATATGCAAATCTAGGTGGTTTAATCTTTCTCCATCTATAATAATCTATATTGATGCCCATATCTTGCCATTGAGTGCTCTTAAATATTGACTCTAGAGCTGCCGTGAACAATTTTGGTGAAATATTGTCTCCTTGTCTAACTCCTCGACCTAAGCTGAATTTTTCTGTGTCTTCGTGTAGTCGTATACTTGATGTAGCGTTCTCGTAGATGTTTTTGATTAGTGTCGTGTACCTGTAATCTATTCGGCTTTGATTTAGGGCTTCCAGTATTGTTTCAAACTCTACAGAATCAAAAACCTTCCCGTAATCGACAAATGCAAGAACCAGTGGTATGTTGTACTCGATATACTTTCCTATTAAGATCTTTATGGTATGCAAATGGTCATTTGTGCCATATCCTGCCTGTTCTTTGGGCTGATAGAAATCAAGTTTAGGTGTTAGCCTCTTTGTTAAGATTTTCATAAAGAGTTTGTACATATGTGTCAAGAGGCTGATGGGTCTATAATTTTCTAATTTAGTAATATCGCCTTTTTTGTGTAACAAGACTATTACTGCATTGTTCCAGTCTTTTGGAATCGTACGCGCATGTAAGCATTTATTAAACAGTTCGCTTACTGATTTTAATAAAATTTCTCCTCCTGCTTTTATTGCCTCGATAACGAGTCCATCATCACCAGGCGATCGCCTGGTGATGTAGACATGACTGATTTTAAATGTGCGTTCAGTAAGTTGTCGCTTGTTTTCGTGGTCTTTCTAATGGGGAACAGTCTCTCACCGTCTTTACTACTCTATTTGTTGACATTCGTTTTGATCGTCCCATTCTACTCTTCTATTTCTTACTCAGTCGTTGATGTTCTCCACCTTACATCTACGTCGTATATGTAGTTTTAGCTCTGTCTGTTTTCATCTCTGCTGTTTCTATCATTATTTTTGTCTTCTCTGTCACGTCATGTTTCTGCAGAGTATGTTATTATTGGTCTGATAATCCTTTACAAAATTCTGCCTTTCATTTCTTTCCTGATATTTTTATTTCTCCATATTGTTCATTCGGGTAACCTACGACTCTGTTTGCTCTACTCACTTTATCTTCCACTTCTGTTTTGAGCATGGCATAGCTAGATAATGTGATGCCTAGATATTTAAAATCCATCACTTGTTCTATTATCTGACCTTCCAGCTCCAATTTACATCTTAGTAAATTTGCTGTTATAACCATGCATTTTGTCTTTTTTGGGGAAATTTTTGTTAAATTTTCTGGCGGTTAAATTAAATTAGTATTTGGTATATGGTTGGATAATTGGCAGCATACGTTGTAAATCGTCTTTACTTTGAGAGTGTGGTATTGCGTAGGCTGCATAGCAGATTATTTTACGTTGTTTTTCTTCCATTTGGTATCCTTTTTTGGTTCTTACTTTTTTTATTATTTCAACCATGATCAGGTAGAAAACAATAGAAGACTCAGTAAATCTCCTTGTCTTATTCCATTTCCAGCTTCAATTGGGTAACTTAGTTCTTCTACTTTTACTTCCATAACTGCTCTTCTTCTTGTTCTAGGTTTGGTACTTTCTCTCTGATGGTAATGTCCAACGTTGATATTTCCATCGTGTGTTGGATAACTCTTATTTTATTTATTGTTCTTTTCGACAGAGTTAGTGTTTCTGCACCATATGTGAAAATATTGGTTGAAAACCTTTCTTTTCACACCGATTAGAATATTATACTTAAAAATGTTGTTTAATCTGCCAAAGGCAGCCCTTGCGATAGTTGTTCTTCTTTATATCAGCAGTATAGCAGCTATTAATATCAAAAGGATAGAACCTACTTCAGGTCACTTCTAGAAGTATGCGATATTGGCCTTAAACAATCATGCTTCTAAGGTAATATAAAGCCAAAGGATCCTAAATAATTAACGTATGTGAAAGATGAATTGAATAACACATTTGATTTAAAAAGATTTATTATACAATGAAAATACAAACATTCTTCAAAAAAGCGTTTTTCCAAATTTGGATATAAGTTAAATTAGCTGTTTGATCCAAAGACATCCCAAACTAAGTGTTTGAACCAAAATATCTTCTAAAAACAATGTGTATTAAGCTACACCAACTAGCTATTATATACGACTTGTAAGCTAACCTACATTTGATAACTAAAATTCAAACATAACAAAAATCTAGCTTAAAACTCCTATCCTATATACGTGAAATATAAACGAAATATTAAATAACATTAAAGGAAAATACGTAATACTTATCACAGATAAATAAAAATGCAATCAACCTATACGTGAGTATTCTCAAAGATATTACGCTACTTACAAGTACAGGGTGTTTTTAATGTATAATTGTCTTACTGTGAAAAGTAAGCATCTTTTATAATTTTAATCCAGTATCAATATCAGTGTCGGATTTTATCTAACAGTTTGTCCTTAATTTGGTTTATTTTTTGGTTTTTGTGTTGTACTTGGTGAATATATTTCTTGACAGAGTCAATGTAGGAAACACACAACACAAAAATTCCTGCCACACCTTAATAATAGTTGAAATATATTCACTGTTGCAAACTTCTTTAATTAAAAAAAAAAGAATTGAAAAAACATTAGTAATCGGAGCGTATATTCATTAAAATTGATTAAAAACTTTCTATTTGTAAATACTAATCTTTAAATGACTAAAAAGCTCAAAATAACATAACATTTAAACTTGTGTTTGAATTTATGTAGTTTTATTTTGTTGATTAACCTCCAGTTATAAACATACTAGTCAATAACAATCTAGTTGAACAAGTGAAAAAGTTTAAGTATCTAGGCTGTTGGATACATGAAACCTTAGACCAAGAACAAAAGGTTAAATGTAGAATAGAACAGACAAGAAACACCTTCTTAAAGATGCGACAGTTACTCACTACCCGTAATCTTGATTTGTCCTTACGATACCGCATGATAAAATGTTATGTATATAGTGTACTACTATACGGCGTGGAAGCTTGGACTTTAACAGTCAGCTCGTTACGACGTTTAGAGAACTTTGAGAAGTTGTTTGTGGTATCATTGAGGAAATTTGATCATGGGCGTGGTTTTCTAACTTAATTCAGAAATTAACCTATTTTGAGAGAAAAATTTTTTTCAACTACTTATTTTCTTTTTTATTTCTTATTTTCTTTATAAAATTATCGTCAGGTACTTAGATCAGCAGCCACAAAAAAGCCTCTAAATTTTTAGATTCAATCGGAAAAATTTTCCGTAGAAAATAAACAAATAAATATTTTTTAATGTAAAGCGGTACGTGTATCGACTGTTTTATTCACGACTGTGAATGAAACTGTTTTATTTACAAGATTTTCTAAAATGAATCAGGTACTCTTATGGTCAGTTTAAATAAGTAAAATTAATTAAAATAACACGTAGCTAACGTAGTAAGCGTTTGCAAAAGCAAAATTAAATATTATATTTTATCTAACCTTTAAATTGTCATTTTAACATGTCTGAAAATATATAAGTGGCATTGTAAGTAGTATATTAACAGATATTTAAATTGTTCTGAACTTGCCAGAGGCTACACCTGACAACATAGAATGAAAAATCCGATACTAATATTTTTAAAATAAAAAATTGAATAAACCCTAAACAAACTAAAAATCCAATAAAGACATTAAGAAAACTAAACGATATTAATAATTTAGGATAGTAACATTTAACACGGTACCTATTATTTGTTAAATAGCAAGGCCTTCCTGCAATGTGCTAGCAGTATTGTAGATCACTACAGAAATTTTATATTACCAAAAAAATTGTTTTAAAATACCTCACCGGAACAATTAACCCTGTTTATTTACATTAACTATGGCTTATCAACTGTTTCGTGCTCTGTCGAGTGGGTACATTGGCAAAAATGAAACACTATTCAGTTTATTTCCTAAATTTATGTCACTGAAGGGTTTTTGGAATCTAATCGTTGAACGACATTGTTGCAATTGTGTTACCTAGTTAACATTTGCTGTTATTTTATGTCATAGTGTGGGACTATTGTTTAATTTGAGATTTTACGGTTTGATTATTGTTTGTGGTTATAAAAAATGCCACTCTTTGCAACTGATGCAGCTAGGGCAGTGGTTTTAGCTGATGCTGGGTACAGGAATTTCGAGAGACAGGTTCATATACCCTCAGGCCAGATCGAGGCCGACATCTATGTACTGCAATTCAAGATGACCGCTTCATTGTCAGCAACGTGTTGAGAAATCGCTTTTGCACGGCTCCCGAAGTTCCTACGCGTCTTTTTGAGGTGAGAAATGTTAGTGTGAGTGAACGTACCATTAGAAGACTGTCAGAAAAAAATTTGAAGGCTTTCCGTCCAGTTCGCGCCCCATAACTGCTCCCACAACACCGTAGAGTTAGACTTTGTTTTGCGCGAGATTATGCTGACGATTGTGGCGGAATGGAAGAACATACTGTTCTCAGATGAAAGTAGAATAGCCCTAAGAGGTCCAGATGAACGTCAGCGTCAAAATGAAAGGTTTCCTACGTGCACTATAACCGAAACAGTGGCTTACCGAGTAGGGTCAATAATAATTTGGGGAGGTACCTCTTACGAAACTCGTACTGATCTTGTTGTGTTCGATAGAGGCAGTGTGAATGCTCATAGATACGTGGAAGAAGTTATCCAGAAGACCATGGCATGCCTTTCGCCCGTTCATTGGTGAACACTTTGGATTAATGCATGACAATGCACGTTGCAATACCTCAAGATCCACCTGTGAGTACCATAATGAGGTCGTGATTCAAGTTTCATCATGATTCAAACGCAGTCAAGACGGCTGCGGTAGAGGAGTGGCACAATATCTCACAATCAGATATCCAGGATATCATGAAAGGATTTCCGAATCAGCTCCAAAAAGTCCTAAGGGCCAGAGACGGCCTTTATTAGTACTTATATTTTTTTAAATTAGACCATGATTTTCAAAATTGTTTGAATTTCCTTCGAAGATTTTCAAACATTGGATTTTTGCTACGCATCCCTTGATAAACGACTTTTTTTCAATAATTTTATTGTTTTCTTTTTCTCAAAGGTAGTTTTCACCATAACTTTCACAAAATGTGTTCCAAGATTGGCAATTTCTGCAAATTTAAAGAAATACAAGGTGGGTTAATTGTGCTGGTGAGTTTAAATAAAATAGACCGAAAACGATAAAATTAGTTAGTTCTAATAACCCATCATTAGAATAAACACTAGTCAAGTAGAAAGAGAAAAAATAAATTATAGGAACAATTATGGAGATATTTTAAGGTAAAAAATATATAGTAGAGAAAAAGCAAAATTAGAATTGAGCCCTATAAAAAATTAAAATTCTCTTCAAATAAATAGGTGACAGGATTACAGTGAATGTGCTGGTGAAACTGATTGGTGATCCATAACGGGAAAGATTGGAAACTTGTAAATGCTCCATTGCTACAGTGATCAGAGAAAAAAAATGTAGAGTTAACGGAAAAACGCAACAAACATGTTGCAGTTTTGGAGCAGAGTAGTAGAGTAAATACAATAGACAAGAGGCAGTGGAGGTTGAATGTGAAAGTACTATTGTATAGACTTTCCACCATGCTCCTCTTAACGGGTGGAGTTGCTAATGAGTATAAATATTCGGCACTGGCCGAATAGTATCTTTCAAAAATGTTCCTACCTCGCTAACATAAAACCGTAAAACAATCGTATAAAAGGAATAAATGGCTCCGTAGCTTCAAGATTTAATGAAAAAATATATGGTCTTGAAAAAGATGAAGTATAAAGCCAGAACTCCTACATTGTGAACCTTAAAAGAAACTTAAGGTTTATACTTTCGTTTCCCTGAATAAAGTTTTTTTTTTGTTCCAAAGAAAAGTTCATTACGGTGGATAATTTGTTGAAATGTGTGAAATCTTAGGTAAGTGTTTCAGATGTAAATAGAATAGAAGCTGTTTCCAGTTCTACTAAAACCAAAACTATACAGGTACATGCACTAGGTGGATTAGTTATGATATGAGATACAATCTAGTATTGAAATGAACTAATATTCTGATGCAACACAAAATAATGTTAATTATAATTTTGCGTTAAAAACTCCCAAATATGTAGCGTGAGATCTTTTAAAATAACTGTCTTTTTGTTGTGAATATCAAAGGAATGTGACTTCTTTATATAGAAACATCGCCATATTGTAACGACCACTTCTCATAAGCTACAAGGCTCTGCGGTGACACGCTACGTCTAATACGTTTTAGCGAATCCAAAAAGTCGTTTATTGTTATGCTTCTGACAGCGTTTGGATCCATTTGTTTAACTTGTTCCGGCTGTAATTCTGAAAGCAACAAGTAATAATTAGCATATAATTTTGTAGAAAATCAACTTATAAATAAATACATAAATAACAAAAATAATACATATTTAGAAAAAAATAAGTAAAACCAGTCACAATTTCATTAATTTGAAGCTTTTGTCCTTTTTTTCTCACACATTTACTGGCTATATCTCCTGACTACTGACTCATGGTAGAATAAACACAAGGTATGATACATAATGTACCAAAATCGGTTCGCTTCGCGCATGACGTAGTAAAGATCCCTTCTTTACGCAACATTTCAATGCAGTTGTATAGAAAAGACTCTTAATTTTAAATTTTTAATATAACTTGCCTAATTTAAATATAGTAATTATAATTCTTCGCATGTACAAATGGTTACATGAGACAGATAATAGAATAGAAACCGTGAAGAATCAAGAAGTATTTAATACTGCGTAATTGTTTTCGTTCATGGCCATCAAACTAGATGGTACCTGTGTACTCTTACTACCACTTGGGTGGGAAATGTACGTGGTTAGGAGACATTTGTTGGTCTTTCGTATATGATTTTGAACTCAACCACCGCGTCTGGTGAGATCGAAATGACGTGATAACGCGGCGTTGCTGACCAATTCAAACACAGAGACTGGCAAGTTGTGCTCCTATGACATACTATATATCGATTTCAACACATCCTGAAATGGGATATACTCAATATACGAGATACATAATGTAGACTGCGAGCATCCTTAATCAAATCTGCAAGTTGAAAAACATTCTCAGTAGTCAAATGCACAAATGATCAGAAAGTATGCAACTTCTACTACCGTTTGATTTCAGCGAACGTGTTTAAGCGAATTTCGGTTGCGACTGAAATTAACGTAGGAATAAGAAATCCAAAAGATTAATAACCAAAAACAAGCAAACCAATTCTCCGTAATTATACAAAGTATGTAGATATAAAATGTTTCAGAGTGGCCGGTTTTATGTGCTGGTTAGTTATTTAAATCCAATATCGATCGTGCTTTGCATAGTCATATTTTAAACGCATTTGCCGTATTTTTATAAATTATAATTTTTATTTTTATAAACTTACCCCTAATGGGACCGAGGGCGGCATCTTTGGCAAGAGCAGTCAGATCACTACCTGAGTAACCTTCAGTCAATGTCGCCAACCTTTTTAATTCTTGTTGCGTTAATGTACAACCCTGTTTTGCCAATAATTTCTTAAGCAGCTTAGCTCTTGTTTCTAAATTGGGCAAGCTCACATAGACCCTCTTCGGAAATCGCCGAAGCGCGGCTTCGTCTAACTCTTGCGGTCTGTTTGTTGCTGCCATCACGAGCACCTGTAAACCGAAAAATTATATAATACAATGAAAAATGCAGATTTAAAAACGTAGAAAATTACCAAAAAAATTAAAGGTGAATCAAAAACTTGACAGGACGAATTGTTCAAAAAAATATTTAAAAAAAATAAAGCATTCAACATTGTCCACTTTAAAATATGTAGTTCCTTCAACAATGAATACACTAACATCGTTTACATTGCTAGAAGGACTCCGAGAACTGTTTTTTGTTTGTTTCTTTAATGCTTTGAATTGGGCCTAAAAGATCTCTTCAGTTTGGAAAACAAAAACAAAGTGCGCATGGACTATTTGTAGGTGGGCTTAAATATGACAAGCATGTCATTATTTTTGCTCTCAGTCAACAGCATCGGCACGCATTTGCAGTCACGGATGTTTAGTTTCTGAGTTGAAAATTCCTGGTATGACAAACGTTGAAACGCTAAGATTCACTCTTTCATTGACACGAGCACGTTGCTCTTTGATAAAATTCATCTTTCAATATAAAGAAAAATCGCCACAGCCACAAATCGTTCTATAAAAACCGCTGTAACTTCGCGAAAAAGAAAGCAATGGACCATAGGCAAAACAGCCGAGTTTTGGATAAGTTACACTAAACAATGCTTTCAACGAGGATCAGTTCTCGTATTTTTGGAAATTTCAGATATTCTATTGAAGGTTAAATGTCATTAAAGTGACTCTAATAATCTTATTTGCACTTGTGGTTCAAACAATCAACAATTTCCAATAATTTCAATGCCCGAATCCTTCTTCTAAGTTAATTCATTCCTATCTAGTTAGTAAATCTTTAAATTTATACCTAAACAAAAAGCTACATGCATATATTGACCACCTCTGGTGGTGATTTGCAAGACCTCGCTGCATCAATGACATGACAATGCACAAGCGCATCAGCCGAGGTGTTCCTCAGTGCTAACATGGGCACACTGTGAAGATTAACATTGTGGAGCTCCCTCAATCACCGTCATAACCAAAGAAAATGTCAGAAAAGTCCACGATATCATTCTAAAAGATCGAAATGCCTCTTTGGGACAAAATGTGAATGAAACAAGCTTTTTATTTTCTTGTAATTCAAAATATTATATCCAACGTTTTAAATATGGAGGAACTCACGGCAAAATGGGTTCTCCGATTGTTTTCAGCTGACCAGAACCATGCCACAGAGGACAGTTGTCAACGGATTTTGCACAATTTTTGCAAGGATAAGAACTTTATTGATCGGTACATGACAATGGATCAAACATGGGTACACCATTATGATCCAGAGACAAAAATTCAGAGCAATCTGTGCAAGCATTGTTAAGTATTCTGGGATGCACAAGATGTATTTTTGATTGATTATTTAGAAAAAGAAGCAACCATAGCAGACTCTTGTTATGCACAACTAATACCAAAATTGCATGAAGCCACAAAATAAAACAGATGAGAAGTAACTATAAGCTGTTCCCCAAACTCGGCCATTTTCGGCCAATGATGAAAATGTTTTCCAGGACGATATCGAAATTTTGGAACGCTGATGGAAAATGTGTGCTGAACTGAGCTGAAAAATAAAGGTGTCAAAATTTTCGTGTGAGTATTATTTCTAGCTCTGGGGTGGACTGTAGGGATCAACCCTCGTATATTAGCATCCTTTAGTAAAGTGACCCAAGTACCTACCAAGTATGGCCGACTTCAGAAACCTATTTCTGAAATCGACCTGTTCTGAAACCAGAAATTTCCTAACAAGTCAATATTTTTACCAATTCCAACCCTGTCATTTTTGTTGATTTCATTAATATTTACAGAAAATCACATTTTTTGGTTAGTGCACGCTATTAAATTTAACTTAAACTATCTTTTTTATTTATGTTTTACATTACTAATCAAATGAATTTTAACAATGAATATAACTAAAATAAAGCCAGTGTTGTCATATGATTACGACTACTCACCTTTTCACTTTCTGGATTACTAGGTAATCCATCAAACTCCACCAAAAATTCCGTTTTCAATCTCCTACTAGCTTCATGTTCATTATTTGATCTTTCCGATAACAAAGAATCTACTTCATCTATAAAAATAATGGAAGGCTGGAGTTCTCTAGCGATCGCAAATAACGCACGCACCATTTTTTCTCCGTCTCCGACGTATTTTGATGTCAAACTCGCTGCACTAATTGAGAAAAATGTGGCCTAAAACAGATCCAATGCATAAATTATACAACAAACGTGGTTTAAATGCGTATTTCAGCGACCAGACAAAAAATCAAAAGATAAAAAAGACTAGAGGTAACGTTTATTATTACGCATTAAGTTTCATAACGCGTAATCAATAGGAAAGTAAATCATTTAAATCAAATGTTTCTCATATGTTTCAATAGTTACTATACCAAACCATGATGGTAAATGGAAGGTAAGGTCGAATGAAGAAGGGATCCGGGCACAAGATAATGTTCATTGATGAAAAATGTAAGTTACTGGATCCGTTTAAATTCACAAACAGTTTAATGAATTATTATTTAAAACCAGGAACGATTTTCCAAACTTGTAGTTAAACTTCTGAGAAGAAGACGCTATCTTTTGTTGTAGTTCTGTTCTTTTTCCAAATCTGTACATTTTCCAAATCAAAAGAATGGCTACTTTCTAGAGAATGCTTAGCTGAGGCTAGTGTTTAATTTTTGGTTTGTACACTATGTTTGTGTGAAACAACTCTTCTATGTAGATATTGGTGTGTTTGCCCACATTATGTTGAATTGCAATCTTTACAATTCTTTAAAATAAATATTCGGACGTTGATAGTACTCTGCTTAAACAGTAAGTAGCAGAATTGTCTCAATAAATATTGTTTTATTAAATACGGTGAAAGTTTCGCATTAAAAGAATCATTCTTAAAATATTTGAATTATCTTACCTGACACTCAGTAGCTACCGCTCTGGCGAGCAACGTCTTTCCATTGCCTGGAGGTCCAAACAGTAACAAACCTCTCGCGGGTGTTCTCAGTCCTGTAAATAATTCGGGTCGTAAAGAAGGCAAGATTACCATTTCTTGAAGAGCCTGTTTGGCATTATCTTGGCCGACAATATCTTCCCACTGGATTGCCGGTCCTCCTTCTACTATTTCGTCTAGAATGGCATGAGCTAGCTTCGGATCCACCCCGCGAAGCGATGGTGATCTGACTCGTTGTCCTTGCTTACTTGTACCGGCAGCTAAGATATAAAAGATTAATATTAAAAATTACAACAAATGTAAGACATGTAAGACAATAACAAAAACACCAATAGTCTACAACTTTAACTGCCATCAATGACAAAAAAATGTAGTCATCAAACTAATAACTTCTGGTTATAATTCCAATACCTAAACTATTAATACTTCTGATAAATTATTAAACAACCAATCATTTTAGGTTTAATACAACCGTATAGTTTAAAATCAAGTTTTCCTTAGTACAGAAGTAACAACCTCTATACAAAACTGCACCCTGTTTTATCTACTGCACCTTTTGCTGCAAGAAGTCATCCCAATATTCCCAATAGAAGAGTATATTCAATGTTTGTTAGATGCCTTGTTAATCATGCTACTGTGAAGGCGTATCTTCATAGATTTAATTTAAGTGAAACTCTGCGATTGTAATGGTAACACTGACAATATCAATCATTGGTTGTTCGGGTGCAGATATCATGATGCTGCTATTAAGTATATATTGGAAAATCTGATAAAAGAATAAATACCTCTTCCTCAGAGTCAACCTTATATTTTATATATCTCTCGTCGTAATATTAGGCTTAACCAAATTTTTTGGGGTTCTTTAAAAAGAACTAAAAGAAAAATATTTCGAAAACGGAACATATTTCCTGCTGTCAGAGCTATGACTACTTGGGTGGTGTCTTTGACAATACAGGAACTGATACACGGGAAATAGAAAAACGAATCACTCAAGCAAAGAAAGTCTTAGGATGTCTCAATGGTATACTGTGGAGTAAAGAGATAACGAAAGGAAGAAAATTTAATATATATGAGACCATGATTAAAACTACTCTTCTTTATGGCGCTGAAACATGCAGAATTAGTGAAAAGAACAAAAAGCGAATAGAAGCAGTAGGGATGGATGCAATGAGAAGATCTTTAGGTATTTCCAGACGAGACCGAATCAGAAATGATGTAATAAAATAACGTATGGGAATAGAAGGAAATATAACTCAAGATATAGAGAAGAAACAATTATTGTGGTATGGGCATGTTCAACGGATGCCAGCAACAAGACCCCAAGTAGAATGGCAACCGATAGGTCGACGGAAAAGAGGAAGACCCAGATTAGAATGGCAACACGGCGTAAACAAGTCCATGAGCGAAAGAAATTTAACAACAAACGACTGCGAAGATAAAAGATAGGAAGAGATGGTGTTTAGGTATCGGACAACGTCGAAAGACGTTCTAAACCGATGTATATATATAAAAGAAAAATTTAGGATGGAATGTGTAATGTGAATGTATAAATCTGTCTTTGTTCCCTCTGTCTATCCTTATGTTATATATTTACTTCCTAGCCGTTGCCTGTCTTGTGTTGTAATAAAGTCGCTATGAAAGGCACCTTAGCGTTAAAAGTATCTCTGTATTATGTAATCCCTTTTTGGTACTAAATATTCAATTTAAGTTGGATAAAGCCCTGAATGTAACGAATGAGAGTATGGTTTCTTATCAATCTACTGATGCTTGTAATACTGATGTTTACAATATATTTTTAATTTACCTCTGGGCGAAATACTATTTTGTTAACAAATGCAATAGGTCAATACATCATTAACAAATTCAAGTAGTCAAATACATTATCGTGGATGAATGGATTAAGTTATCCAAAGCCCAAAGCCATTAATTAAATAAAAAAAATTCTTCAATAATTTCATTTCATTATTTGTTTCTCTTAACCTGTTTTTCCCATATTTTGTTAGAATGACATTTTTGTAAATTACTTCTTATTATAAGTTTTTTTTAACTTTTTATAAAACAAGGTTTTTTAGATTGGCTTTGGCTTTGCCAATTAGTTAGAAAATATTTGTGATTAGCTTTTATTGCATACAACAAATTTACTTACACATTACATTCTAAGAATTAATTGTGTTAATTAACATTTTTCTCATAAATCTAAATGTTATTTTTTTTGTTAATGCTTTTTTTAGTTTTTTTTATATATATTTTTGTGTGATTTTTTTTAGTTTTTTTTGTTTAATGACTTTTTATCTATTTTTATGCGATTTTAATCGATTCATGGTCTGAATCCACATCAGCTCCTCTGTAAGTTCTTACGTTAGTTATAAGTTCTGAAACTTTATCCTGAATGACCGCATGATCAATTTGGTTCGTTTCCCTGGTGGAAGGTATTATCCACGTGCCCTTTTCGCTTTCTTTCGCGCCCTTTCTCTTTTCGCTTAAAATGAGTACTCATTATCTTCATTTCCCTTTATATGACTAGTGAGATTAACCTTTGTCCATTACCATTGCTTTTTTCGTGCTTACTTTCGTCCCCTGTGATTTTCTTGTACATTTCTTCTCTTCCCACCTTTGCATTTGCATCTACCATAATAATTAGTATTATAGTATAGTATAGTATACTAGTACTACTACTATAGTATATAATAGTATACTTTTTTCTTTATTTGTTTGTTTGTGTTTTTTTTCTTTTTTTTTGTATGATCTATTTACAATTTTTAATTTTATTACCTTTTCTATTTTATAATCTAAATTTCGAGGATGTTATAATTTCATAGACACATCATTTATATGTATAAAAAAAAGATAAATTAAGACTATTAAAACAGAGAGAAGAAGACAAAATAAAAAAAAAGATGGACCTGGAGAAGGTAATGAGTACATAAACTAAAAGAGCAATATAAGACAACCCTAAAGGAAAATCTAAAAGAAGCAAATAACACAAAGGAAATATAAAAGAGGGGGAAAATTATTAAGAAGCATCTAAAACCTAATATTAGCAAGAAAGAAGGCAGAATTATACCAATATTTAACAAAGGAGATGTAACAGACTGTAATAACCATAGAGAAATATCTGTATTAAGTACAACATACAAAATGCTAACAGCCGTCATCACACAAAAACTCACTCAATTCAGAGAGGAACAAATAGGAGACTACCAGCAAGGATATAGAGAAGGCATGTCCACTATAGCCGATATCCAGATAATTACAGAAACAATCGGGAAATGCCACAAACACAACATAGAACTCCACACCCTCTTCGTAGATTTCAGACAAGCATGTGTCTGTATTGGACGAAATAAATTATTTAAATGAAATGAGGAATCAAGACATAGCGGCAAAGCTAATCAAAAATAACTATGGATGGATTCCGAGCTAAAATAATAACAGAAGAAGGCAGCAAAAACTCAATTGCAATAGAAACAGGAGTGCGACAAGGCGATTCCCTGTCAACCACACTATTCAACATAGGGGGAAGGAACAGTCAAAACTAGCGAGATTAAAGAAACTACAGCCCACTCCTCGGCACAGATGGTAGTATATGCAGATGGCATAGTTCTTATGTGAAGAAATAAGGAAAGATTGGAGGAAGCAGTTACAAACCTGTCAAAGAAGCACGGCAAAGAGGTCTAGAAATTAATGGAGGAAAAACAAAATATCTAGTCGACAATAAGACGAGAGAAATCAAGACAAAAACTACACTTTTGAAAGAATACAGAAATTTAAACATTTGAGTGATTGTGAATGATGAAAATAAGAGACTCATCACTAGAAGAGCAAGACTGGCATAAGCACGATTTGGTAAACTCAGTTGGATACTGAAGAACTGCACAATACCTCAATACTTGAGGAGCAAAGTGTTAAACCAATGCATCCTTCCCATCATGACATATAGATGTCAAACCTGGACCCTAACCAAGGCAAATGTGAAAAAACTAGCGACAACAGAAAGGGCAATGGAAAGAGCAATGCTAGGTGTACGACTGTCACACTAGTAGACAAAAAGACCAACGTTGAAACGCCACAATACAACATTGGAGACCTTACAAGGGTAGACGACCAAGAGGAAGACCACAGATGAGATGTGTGGACAACATCAAAAGAATAGCCGGAGCAAATTGGAAGTATGTTGCTCAGAATAGAGATCGATAGAAGGCGTTCGGAGAGGCCTATGTCCAAAAATTGACGAGGAAAAACTAAGGAGAAGAAGGAAAATAAGAGAAATGAAAAAGTAACGGAGTGAATACTAGCGGGCAACAAAACATACTGGAGTTACCATAGGTTAATGAAGAACAGGATCTTGTCCAGAAATACAAAATTCAAAATACACAGAATTGCAATTAGACCAGTAGTTACATACGCAGCTGGGACAATGTGCCTCACAGACAAAGATGAAATATTAAGAAATTTTAAAGGAAAATCCCAAGAAGAATTATGGGCCCGATAAGAATGGAAAACATAGAAATGGAAAGAAGAATGAACCATGAAATAATAGATATAATGAAGGGAGAAGATATAGTTGGATTTATTAAATCTCAGAGACTGAGATGCTTGGGGCACATCATAGAGAGAAGAAAAAACGACCTACTGATTAGTAGATTATTTGACAGAAGCAAGTAACTGAACGACCGAGAAAAGACCTAGAGAGAGACTGGAAGGACCAGATCATGAGACATCAAAATCTTGAAAGTAAGAAACTGGAGGGATCTATGCACAGATCGAAATGAGTGCAATAAAATAGTAACGAAAGCCAGGCCATACAACAAACTTTAACAATGCACACGAAGAATGCGAAGTGTTTTACCGCTATAAACGAATCAAAGTGCTCTAAGTAATAGCGGCAAACATTCCTCCAGGAATGAAAGGCCTCGATGGTGATGATAAAAAAGGTATGAATAAGCTTATTTAGTGTTGTTTACACATAAATTAAAATACACATAAATCTGAAAATTATATCTAATTTATATTGGAATAAAACTGTCAAGGTAAGAGTTGACAGCCAGTACACCGAAAATATCAAAATACAGAGAGGAGTCTGCCAGGGTTGCGTGCTGTCCCCACTACTTTTCAATGTCTACAGTGAAGCGGTATTTCAAAAAGCGCTCTCAGACTCAATAGAAGGTATATCTATCAATGGAGAACTTTTGAATAACTTACGTTTTGCAGACGATACAGTAATAATTACGGATAACAACATAGATTTACAGAACGTAATGCAACGCCTTAATGAACGCTGTCATGAGTACGGACTGAAGATAAATTTGAAGAAAACTAAATGCATGATCATGACTAAATCTGCACATGCAAATATCCAATTGACTATTGAAGATACTGCAATTGAGAGTGTTAATAACTATAAATACTTAGGAACATGGATAACATCAGATGTAGACCAAACCAAAGAAATTAAGACACATATTGAAATAGCACGTACATCATTTATTAAACTTAAAAAGTTTCTTTGTTGTCGGGATATAAGGTTAGAACTACGTCTGAGAATGCTTCGATGTTACGTGTTCTCTACTCTTCTTTATGGTTTGGAAGCTTGGACACTAAAACAAGTTCATCTAAATAAGTTGGCCGCCTTTGAATTTTGGTGTTACAGAAGAATCTTACGAATATCATGGACTCAAAGAATGTCAAACATGGAAGTAACTAGAAGGATAGGAAATGAGGCGGAAATAATATTAACTATTAAAAGACGAAAACTTGAGTACTTGGGACATGAGATGAGAGGGCAAAAATACGCATTATGCAGGGCAAAATCCGAGGAAAGCGAAATGTGGGAAGACGAAGAATATCCTGGCTTAAGAACTTAAGGGAATGGTTTGAATGCAGTAGTGCAGAACTTTTTAGAGCGGCAGTCAACAGAGTCCGCATAGCCATGATGATTTCCAACCTTCGATAGAAGATGGAACTTCAAGAAGAAGAAGACACATAAAAAATGCCAAAATAACTAATTATTGCTATTTTTTAACTAGAACAAGAGTTTAAAAGTATCAACTAACATTTTAACCTAAAGTTAAACCTATTTCATGCTACTTTAAAACTCCTATACTTTAGTTGAGTTAAAAGTCGTACATTTTCATAGCTTTCATCTACTATTTGGAAGATTTGACAACACTTTACATTTACGTGCAATGAAAATCGTAGAAAAACTTCTATAGTTATGTGTAACTTACCTCCATTGATGTTGTTTCCACTGTTGACTTTTCTGGCCGGAGATCCGGCGTTTCCTGGAACAGACAACTGTTTTTTGACGGCCGGCGGGGTTGATGATATCTTGTTGAATGGACGCACTGGTTGAACTGGAGTGTTACGAGAACCCATCGATCGCGGTAATGTTAAACTTTTCGATAATGGAGAATTTGCGGGACGTTTGCTAGCTACCGTTAGTTTTTTTCCTGAAGCTGAAACATAAGGTAGTTAATGTTATAAATGTTAACGGTCTATGTCGCCTATAATTCTGTATACATATACCTCTCGATTTATGGAGTGTAACTATTATAATTAAGAACTAAAGTTTGGTAAAAGCAAGTTAGTTTAAAAAAATAGAGGAAGAAAAAGAAAATAAAACAAAAATAAAATATATTATTGAGAATACTTTACACCACGTTAAATATATGTAGCATTAAAAAGTGTAGCAGAAAAAATAGAAATGCTGATATAGGATATATACAGAATTGTGCGAATTAATGGAATCATTGTGCATTTTTCAATATTCACAGTTGGCAACACCGTCCACATATTTACAACTGATCAAGCATTGAAAACATAACCTTACTTTTCTCTTCCTTTTATTTAAGGGTGTTTTAGGACATTTCCCACTAAGATTGTGTTGGTTTGTACTATATTTTATGCTGGTTTCGATGACGGATTAAGGGGGCATAAGACTATTTGCACCCGGCGGTAAATTTTGAGAGGCGGTGCGTTGCTCCAATCACGTTTTAAGTCTATATGTAGATTTCAAACTAATGGGAAGTTTTCGGGAAATCGGCCAGCGCCACTGCGCCTGCGGCAGCGTGTCCGGCTCCAACACGCCCTGTCGTCAGTCGTGTTAGCGCAGTTTTCGAGACTAGTCTCAAATTTTATTTATTTATTAGTGAAGTGTTTTCGGGACGTTTCTCAAAAATGAGCGGAAAGAAAGGAGGTGCATTTTGGAAACGACAAAAGTTAGAAAAACAACAAAAATTAAAAGCAATATTAAAAAAACCCGAAGATTCAGCTTTTTTTACCAAATCCAGGCAAGATAGTATACCAACGAGCACTTCGCTGTCAAGTAAACAATTTACACGAAAAAATAGATACGTTAGAATTTGGTATTTATGTTCTCTTTTGGTTCGAAGTACTGGAAAGAACTGACCTAGCGAGTAAATCTTTACAGAGCGCAAATATGGACTTAGATGTTCGTCTTTGTATGGCTCATTACAATATTTTTACGAGTCTCTACGTGATAAATGTAATTTATTTGAACAGAAGGGGCAGTTCTTATCACAACAAACGGAATACAGCAAAGAAATTAGAAGTCGCAAAAGAAAATTACAGTTTTTACAGAAATCTAGAGGAAAAGTTTATGAAAATCTTGCCATCACTTTCTGATTTTTATTTTCTCTACCTCTTTCACAGGATAACATGATTTCAGACAAAGCGTCGTTATTAGTGAATATTTATTCGAATGACTTGGATACATCTCTAGCAAGTGAGTGTATTCCATTAAAACATTTTATAATGTCACTACTAGGCCAAGTTGAGTATAAAAATCCAACAACTGACAGTGCTACTTTTGTGATGGAGCTTTTGCATAAAAATAGCACGTAAAAATAGCACTAAGAATCTTCTTATCGTTTATGGTTGTCACTAACGCAACTGGTGAAAGATCATTTTCCACTTTAAAACGGGTCAAAAATTTGTTAGTAAATAATTATGTTAATTTACTTTATAAGTTGTGAGTTTGTGTCTTTGTGGCTTTTTTGTGTATTTGTAATAAATTACCTAATAATATTAAAATAGTTTTAATAAATTGTTAACCTAAGACGCATCTATACCTACTGGAGAGTGGCGGTATAGTATGACTTAGCCCCCGGCGGTCCATGAACTAAATTGGGCACTGGTTGTTTTCGGTAATTAGTGAGTTTATTTCGTTTAATTCCATCATGGATATTACATAAAAAGATTATCACGTTAAGTGAACAAACTTCTGTCACAAAGATAAATCGCAAGAACGTGCGGAGTAAGTCAGGGGGTAGGAAGCAAGAATTTGAAGCGTAAACGAGAAACGCGATCAATAGATGTGAAAACGTTAGGCAAATGCGGAAGAAAGAGAAAAACAACACAAGGAGCAAATTGGACCCAAGCAAAACAAGCTAAGAGCTCCAACAAAATCTAGCAGCATCAGATGTGGTGATTCGGAAAACACTTTGGGAGAATGATAGAAGGACAATGCGTCCACAGAAAAAACAACTTCTAACTAAACGAATAAAGCAACAAAGGTTATTGGGGGCCAAAAAATACTCTAATTGGACTGTAGACGACTGGAGAAAATTCCTATTTACTGATGAAACTCACTTTATAGTTTAGTGATAGCGGTCAAAATTCGTCAGGAAGTCTGACAATGAAAACCTTATACCATCTCATATTAATAAAACCGTAAAACATCCAGTCAAAAAATGTTTTGGGGATGTTTTCATATATGTGGGTTGGGTCTTTGGTACCAATCGAAGGCATGATAATAAACAGCCAAACAGCGTTTGGACACAGAACTCAAAAAATAGCCTCAAGGAGTAGCGATTCTTCAACAGAACTCTGCGCCCTGTCACAAGTCAAAGCAAATGATGGGATTTTTCAAAAATAGGAAGATTAATGTTTTAGATTGGCCCGGTAATTCGCCAGACCTTAAGCCCATTGAAAATTTGTGGACAATTTGTAAAGCTAGACTTCGCAAAATCGACTGTACTACAAAAATAAAAATGATAGAGGCGGTTATTCAGGTTTGGTTTCGATATGAAAGGATAACTGTAATAACCTCTAAAATATATGCCAAAACAGATAAAAGCAGTAATTGCAGCGAAAGAGAGACATGTTTCCTACTAAAATGATGTAAGTTTACCTTTATAGTTTTGTCAAAATCTAATAATTTTTTTTAAATAAACTGTTTTTTCATTAAAACAGCCTATGTTTCCATTAATTCGCACAATACTGTATAGTTTTACTATACTGTTCGGAATACTGTTCCGAAGCCAAACTGTATATTACTAATATCCGCTTCACACTTTCTAAATATTCTTGCGTGTTTAACCTTCAAAAATGTTTTCAATATTTGTGGCATTAAGCTGATTAATCTATAGTCATTACAGTGTTTGCGATTCTTGGTTTTTGGTAGCGCAACAAAGGTCGATAGTAGCCAAATTGTCTTCATCTATAAATTTAATCAGCTCATAAATAATCAGTTTCATTTCAATTGGATTATTAATTGGTTTATTGTTTTTGTCAATTAACTGGTTAGATGTGTTTGTTTGTGATTTTCCAGTTATGCAAATTATAATGATCATGTTTTTTCTGCAATTCCCCCATTTCAATGCATGTTTCCATCATCCATTTTTTCTTAACCGCTTTTATTTTGTTCCTTATTAATTTATGTTTTTCTATGTATTTATCTGGGTTTTTTTTCTATATTTTCTTCTTTGTTCCATGATTTCCAGTATTTCTTGAGTCATCGAAGGTGTTCGGCTTTCTTCTTTCTTTTGTAGATTTTCGTTCTGTGTCTTTATAACAGATTTTTTATTTTGCTTCACATAATGTTCACAATCTTAGTGTTTTCGTTTCTAATGTTAATCTTTTCATTTCTTGATTTATAAAAGTTGAAGCCTTATCACATATGTCGTTTATCTCGAGCAACTGAGTCTGCACCTTGGAACTTTTGAATCCTTTTTACCCTCAGTTTCATTTTTGAGACAAGGAGGTAAAGATCTGAGGGAACATCTGCTCCAGGAAAAGTCTTAACAGTTACAATGGAATTTCTTAATTTTAAATTGGTTAGAATAAAGTCGATCTAATTTCTAATGTAATTTTGTTCATTATCCTATGGTGACCTCCTACGGGGTGGTAATTGAAACCATGTGTTCATAATCGCCAGGTTTTCTTCTTGACAAAAGGAGATAATCTGTCGCCTCTAGCATTCCTTATTCCTTAACACATATTATATTGTCGACTCAGCCTTTTCCTATCTTTGCATTTAAATCACCCATTATTATAGTAATTTCATCCTTTTTTGTGTATTGTAGAAGTTGTTTGAGTTGTTCATAAAAATGTTTTATTTCAGCTTCTACTCTGCCCCAGTCAGTCCAGTCTATTAGTATAAAGTCGACCTGATTTCTAATGCAATTTTTTTTATTATCCTGTGGTGACCTCCAGGTATAGAGTCTACAGGGTGGTAATCGAAACCATGTGTTCATAATCGCCAGATTTTCTTCTTGACAAGAAAGTCAGGATAATATAATTCAATTAAAAGAATATGTCAAAAAACTTCCCCATTTTATTCTATTAATTAACCATATATGGGAAGTATGGGTCTCAGGTGTCATCTACCTTGCTGAAAAGTAGCTGGCACCCAAACTCTGAAATGATCATATCTGTGTGCACACTGACGACGATGGTACATGAAGAATAAGAACCAATTACGAGTTTAGCAAATTGAATGAATTGACTTGTCCAGAGGTTAGATAAACGTCAATAGTACTGATCACCATAATTGTTCATCATCCAATGAGTTTGCTTGAAACAATAATTAATATTTTGATTTCCTGTGGATGTCACATCACAACTATTTTATAAAGATTGCCGTAGTATATACAAGCAGGTTTATTTTGTATACAGACTTTTTCAAATTTTTCTTTTCAAATTGGAATATAAATGTACTTTATTATATTTAAAAAGCCAAACAAGTCAGCCAACCTATAGATCAGCATTAATTTTTAGAATACACTCCAAAATTGTAAGTGACACTGATCAATATTAAATGAGCAGTGCCAATGAGTGATAAATCTATATCTAACTTAAGTTGATGTTGATATACTGTTCATTTCTACTTGTCACAAGAACGGTATGAAATATGACTAGAATAATAATTTAACAATAATGTCATTATTGTAAATCATTAGCTTTTCTGGGAACTTAGTGCCTACTATATTAAAATTATAATATTGCAATTTTTTATTTTAAAAAACTAACAACTATGATTTGGATATATCATTATCACTTGAAAGCTTATGATCACAATGAAAAAAATGATTTTGTTAATATTGTATGGAGATTGTTTGACAACATCAAGGTTAGTACATACTTGTGTTATCCAGCAAAGCAGTTAAAGAGCCAAAAAGCTTGCTAAATTGTGTAGGATTTGTACCTGGTTTAGAGACATTAGTTTTGGGTGCAGGGATATTGCATGAGTATTTAGGGGTGTCCTGGGGTTGATTTACTTCCAAATTATGTAACCTATCCATGCTTTCTATAAATAAAATAATAAAGTAAACTTAAGTGCTGAAAGTAAGAAACAAATAAACACACAAGCCTTAAATATAAACAAAGGTGGTATGGGTAAGTAAGTGTTTTAAATTTTTTATTGTTTTTTTACACAAGAAAAATCTAATTCATTAAAAAATGTGACATTAGTGCAAAAGAGAATATAACTACTTCTTTAGCAAATATTTTCCTACATGTTTTTTAACTATACTTTAAGAATAGATGTCAACAAAGCTACATCTAAAAAATAGTATGTGCAAATGAATTTAGAAATTTACTTTAAATACATTCAGTTCTGTTTGAATTCGGTAAGAATTTGGCATATTTATAGAAAAAAAAAATGAAAATAAGTTATTGGCAGTGACATTAACTTTCCTACAGTTGTTACAATATAAATCGCCATGCATGTCATCTGTTTCATAGTAAGTGAAGTCACATGATACCAACACAAAATATAGCTAAGTCATAGGTATGTTCTTTCTTAGAATATGTTAGTGAAAGACACTGGAATTACAGCCACTAGACATATTTGATTCTATACATGTAGAAATAATATTTGAATTTATATTAATGTAAACTTAATGAAATACACCATAACCCATTCCAATTAATTTGTATAAGTCGATTATAAAGCGTTTTTATAAAGCACACTTATCTGGATAACACTTTAACTGCGATCAAATGAAGCATTTTGGCATAAATTGTTAATACTTATTTGACAGTTGAGATGTTGATACTTCAGATTTGTTTTTATTGTTTACTATTAATTAAACTCTGTTCTTTTTGGAACAAAATTGAAAAGCACTGTACTTGGAAGAAAGAACACTTGCAAAGATTTTGGAGTAATGTTTCAGCAAAATTTGAGATTTAATGAACATTATCGGATCATCATTGGAAAGGCATACAAAACTCTTGGCTTCCTAAGTCGTAATTAAATTTTTTTTTAAGATTTGAAGCTCTAAAATCATTATACAATGCACTGGTAAGACCTCACTTGGAGTATGCCTATATTATATGGGCACCACAAGCCGAATTCAATGTTGATATGATTGAAAAGGTTCAAAAATTATTCTTGAGGTTTCTTTATGTCCGAAAGTTTGGTATCTATCCATACATGATTTCCTATAATGCTATGTTAACTTGTTTTAAAGTTCATCGACTGGATAATAAAAGAAATTTTCATTCAGCCTTTTTTATTTATGTTGTAAATCACATTAAATATAAAGATTACTTTTTTATAAATAATATTAAATTTAATGTTCCAAAAATACATCTAGGAATTAATAACACAACTGTTCTCAACTAATAAGACTTATTGTTCACCCATAAATAAGATGTTAGAAGAATGTAACCATGTGATAATTAACTGTGATATAGACTTTTTAAATTCTTCTGTGAAACAAATAAAAGTTGCTTTTGAAACAAATTTCTAGTCTGCAAAAGTTGTCTTAAAATTTAATTTAGATGTAGTGTTTTTTTACTTTGGGATATTAAGAATAATGGGAATCAAACATACAATCACAAATGACCTAACAACAAAACAACTTATGTGGTTCAGACAGATACAAAGAATGGATGAACAACGAATACCAAAAGAAATATTAAAATGGCAACCAGAGAGAAAGAGAAAAGGAGGTAGACTGAGAAAAAGTTTGGGCGAAGGAATAAATAAAGAACTGAGCTGAACGACCAGACTAAGTGGCGATTGGAAATCAGAAAATATCGGAGAACATAAGTAGGAGTAGTTTTTTACTTATTTTATTAAATATAAATATATAAAATAGTAATACTTCAGAGAAAAATACATAACTTGTCTGATAATTATATTATGTAACAAAAGTACAGCCACAAGTGAATGCCAGAATTCTTCCTTTTTTATTCATCATTCCTTCTGATTAAGTCCCATGTCATTGGAACTTGATATTATATCATAAAAAATTAATAATAAAATTAAGTATTAAATATAATTATTTTTACGCATTTTTAAAACAAATACACTAAATATCCATACCACATCAAACCTGTTTAGTAACTATATTTTAGCTAATGTATAGTAAACTATATTCTAATAAAACTAAAACTTGCATAAAAAGTTTAAAAAAGTCTGTAGTAAACAATAGAATAGTTACCTAAAAACTGTAATCTGTCCTTGGCCATGGCTAGGTTTGTCTTCATTTTTTCATGCAATCTTTGAGCTCTCTCCCAAACTTCTCCCCGGCCACCCCAACATTGTACTGCAATACCCAGCTCTAGTTCTGTGATTCCCTTACGGTACAAATCAATAGCAAGCTCTTTCTGACCTGAAACAATTTCATTAATTGTTTTATTGAATACACACATCATGAATTTGTAATATTTAAATCATTTTAATGTATATCATTGTAACAGTTAGTAAGTACCTAAATAAAGAAATAAAATTTCAAACTGGGAAAATTAAAAATTTAAATAAAATCTATTTCACATTTACAGAAAAGAAATTTTGAAACAGTTTCTGTAAAATTCGAAAATGAAAATTAGTTTAACAATTAATTAAATAATTACTTAATTCATAATAAATTAATTTATTTATTATTATTTGTTTAATTAATTTTGTAGATCATAAAATTTAAATTGTACATAAACTATAAAAGGACACATAGCGTTTTTCTTTTAGTAGGTTTTCTAGTTTTACTGGCTTCTAGAAGTAATTCTACTTTTACTTTAAATACCTAAATTTAAGACTGCTTAATTAATTGATTGGTTAAATTTAAATTTTATAGAAGGCTGTAAATTTTTTGTAAAAAGATTTGTCTTTCTTTTTTTTAGGTTTTCCACTTTTATTAGTTAACATCTTCGCTGCGCCACCAGTTGAAAAAGACTGGTAACTATGTTTGTAGAAATTATGGCTAAAAATAAATACATGTATATCTGGCGAGTAACATAAACACAAAACACATTGGTAAAAACATTATAGGTACCTATATTATCGTCTGAAAGAGATCTATCTAATAGACGGATAATTTAGTACCAGGTGTATTAGAGTGGTAACACATATAAGTTATTTATTTTTCATTGTTGGATTCTCAGATGAATTCACCTGGTGAGTAATTTCATTTGTAATTACCAGTTTAGTTTAGATTTCTAGGTTGTGCCATATTAGTGTTTAAAATATTTGTATAACAATTCAGACTGTGATTCTAATTATGCTCCTTCTGAATGTTCAACTATGCACTTCTTAAAAATTTCTGTTTTTTTTACCAAAAGGATTAGCTTGGTACTGATACAGTTTCCAGCAAGTTTGTATATTCCTTGTATGTATAAAACAATTACTACACATAAACCTTTAAAAATTTAGAGATAGATCTTCTTCTTATGGTGCCCTATCCAATTAGTCGATGTTGGCGACAATTCTGGAATGCTCCTCTCGATCTTGTGTGACTCTAAAAAGTGCATGGGTATCGAGATTTGTCCAATCCCTTATGTTTTTAAGCCATGAGAGATAGATCACTCTCACATTTCTGAAGAACTACCAGTCAATTCCAACTGGTGTATCTAAATACAGAATTCTATGGTACCAGTCAATTACAACTGGTAAGCATACAACATAATAATTTATTTTTCGTAATCACAGCAAAGGTGTTAATTATGGTTACTGGTTGAAAAATGTTTACACATTGTTTTTACAAAATATGGAAATAGAATACATAATTTAAAGTAAGGAACATAATATCACAAATTTGGCTAGTTTATATATGTAAAATCAAGTTCTGTGGTATTTTTGGTTAGGTTTAGACAAACCCAGTTTAACTTTCAGTGGTGGTTTAAATTTACCTATAATTAATAAGTCATGTTAAAGATTTTGGTTATGCTTTGTTTACTACTTTTACAGCAGCACAATATAGATTGTGTTGCTAAAATAATCACAAAATTCATGTTAATTGTCTAATTAAACAGAAGAGGTTGCTTTTTATTTGATTATCTGCAGTCTAGAATACAACATTATATCTATATAATAATTTACTACATTTTTAATAACGTTGACTGTATAAATTATACAGCTGAGAAGTAACATAATAGTGTATTTCGTTTGACTTATATTTTACATTTATTAGAACTTGTTACTAAGACGAGGATGAAAGTATTAAACAAAAAACCCTGTATACATTAATTCATTTGATGTAACAATATGACAACAATAAAGATAATTCTATAATAAGATAAATTAATCTAACCTTCGTTTTCCTCGTCGATTTTCAAGGCTCTAGAAATATATTCAAAGGCTCTTCTGTGATGGTGTTTTTGTTTAGCTAACAAAGGATCACCTGGACCCGGACCTGTACTTTTTGCTTGTGCCATTTCAGAAACTTCTTCGATAACTACACAATTATTCCTTTCACCATTCTCACAATCAGCTATCTGATGACGAACAAAATAAGTGGAAGAACTGCAGTAAACAAAACGTAAGATAACAAAAATTTGATAAAGAAGAGAACGTAAAACGTTAAATAAAAATATTATGGGAAAAGAAACTATACACAAATTTCGTTTATGAACAGATGTTGTTGAGTAAGAAGTAAACATCACATTACTGTGGGACGCATCAGGGTCACTTTTTCGTGATTTTTTTGGCGATTTTCCACTTTGATTCTTACGGACCATCCGGAGGCCATGACACACTGTCAAATTAAATGTCAGTGTCAATAAAAATTTAAAAACTAATGCTAGCTATCATATGTTTGACAAGACCAAATACAATTATTAAAATATTTTATATACAAATATAAAATGAATGTATTAATACAATTTGTATCAACACTATTACTAGATAAAAAGTACAATATCGATACCTTTTTGCCATAACATCGTAAGTGACAAATTTAGGGAAAACAGTTTTATTGAAGCATCGTATCTATCAAGCCGCCAGGCACCTCCCAGCAAAATTATTGTAAGGTATAATAGCATAGTCTTGGAGAAAAAACCGAATTTGCTGTAACGTAAGTCACATAAAAATGTGAAAAAATTTATTTTGTAGTTGTGAAAACATCGCATGGTCACCAAAACATCGTAAGGTGCAAGTCACGTGGTACAAAATTTGCTACTTACGATGCAGCGAAGTTCATTACGATCTATTAGTGAACTGTGTGTAGCCGCAGAGTCGGAACGTAAGTACCACAAAATAATTTTTTTGGTAATTATTTATGGTTTTTACTTTTGCTTTCGTTGAGATTTGTAGGAAACATTGTAAAAAATGTAGTTTAAAATCAAAATTTCCTTAACATACGTAGTTTTTTCAAATTATAGAGATTTCTTAGTAATAATTGTATTGGTGTGATAGGTAATGGTTGTTCTAGATTTATTTCGTCTCAAGAGAATCATAATCCTATCTTTTTGTATTATTTTGTAGTGAGTATTATAAGGTACTACAAGTTCCATATTTTATGTACAAGGTGTCTTACCTGGGTTGACACATTTTTGGTCAATATAGGATGTTTCATCTCACGCGTAATATTGCGTAAGGTTGAATAATACAAGATTTACTCCGTACTGATCGTACATGATGCAATGTTGCGTAATATTACGCAACATTGAGTAAGATTGAATACTACAAGATAAATCCCGTACCGATCGAGCTATCGGACGGCCACAACGTTAATAACACCTGGCGAAAATAAAATAAAAGACAAGAAGAATGGAGGCCACATATGGCGCACTTATAATTCAAAATAATATAACTTTTATAAGTAATATTTTAAAGTCGACAAATAAGATAAAATATTCTTTTATTTCAGATTATCGCCATGAGTAGTAGATCAAGACATCTAGTAAGATTAGCTCTTAGTTCTCAAGGAACAGAAGAATCAAATGCCATACCGTCTTTGGTAACCACTCGGTCTGAGTCTTCACATGAGTTGGAGTCACTCTCACTATATGTGGGAGACTCTAACTTTGACAGCGAATTATCTTCAGTTTCGTATGATGTAAAAGACTCAGCATCTTTGTATGAATCAAGCGAATTCGAAGAGATTCCACTGGTATCACAGAAGTCCTTAGACACCATTATAGACTCAACCACATGCTCTAGCACCAGTGTTGCTTCACAAGTTGGTCAAATCTCGAACTTGAAAGATTTACAATCTTCAGACGTGGTCGTAATTAGTTTAGACGAACCTATAATTTACCATATCACTGCCGACGGAACAGAAATAAAATCCAAATGTAATGTGCCAAGTTCTTCAGTTGATGATGACCTTCACCAGAACCAGCCAGTAGTTTCAACACGACCCTCTGTGAAACTCGTTGACTATGACTCTTCCAGTAGCGAAAATGATCAAAATAGTCGTACCTGTAATACAGCTAAACGTTTTCGTCGCCACTCTTCAGAATATTCCTTTGAAGAAAATAATATTAGCAATGGTGACAGCAACTCGCCTGACAATAAAGAAGATGCAATGGGAAAAACTTGTTTTAGGAAACAGAAAAAACCGTGCAAAAAGACAATAAGGAAAAGTAATCACAAGTTCGGTGCCAAAAAGTCTGTTAGAGAGAATCCTTGCAGTATTAATTGCCCAAACCAGTGTATTTCAAAATTTCCAGAGATAGTGAGAGAACATGTTTTCGAATTTTATTGGGGCTTGGGAAGCCTACACAGGCAACGAGACTGGCTGCTTTCATGCATAAAAGATGTTGAAATAAAACGTCGAAAACAAGAGGCTGCAAGAAGCAGAAGACAATGTTCGTACAAGTATATCATTAGGTGGAATGATGTGGAACACGAGGTGTGCCAACAATTTTTATTGAAAACCTTGGATATTTCACAAATGACTTTGAGATATACGAAAGAAAACTCTACGTCAGCCTCATTTTCCAAAATAGATCAGAGAGGTAAGCATGTTCCCCATAACAAAACTGGGAAAGAGCAGAAGCAGAATGTTTTAGATTTTATCACGTTGCTACCCGCTGTCCCATCTCATTATTGCAGAAATAAAACATCGAGAAGATACTTACCCACTGAATTTCGTAATGTATCATTCTTATACGAACTTTTTAAGAAGAAACAGATAGAAAATGGCATAACTAAGAACGATATCGTTTCCCTGCAAGTGTTCCGAAAGATTTTTAAGGCAGAATTTAATATCGGATTTCACTTGCCGAAAAAAGATAAGTGCAAAGTCTGTGAAGTGAGAAAAGACAAAGATTTTGAGGAAACAGAAGAAACAAAGCAATTGTATGAAAAACATTTGGAAAACAAAGAAAAATGCAAAGATTCATTTCTAGCTGATCAAAAGAAAACTATCTTAGATTCAAAATTTTTATGTGCTAGTTTCGACCTGCAGAAGGTGTTAAACACACCACATGGAGACAATTTGCTCTTGTACTACACCAGAAAGTATGCTTATTACAATCTTACGGTTTACGAAAGTGGAACCCAAAATGGGTTTTGTTATTTGTGGGGAGAATGTGACGGAGGACGTGGCAGTAACGAAATATCTACCATAATCTACAAATATTTGCAAGAAGTTGATAGAAGACAAACCGTAAAACATATATCACTAAATTGTGATAGTTGTTATGGACAGAACAAAAACAAGGCAATGTTTGTAATGATCTCGAGTTTTCTTAAGGATTCTGTTAATATAACATCAATCAGTGTGCGATACTTACTACCAGGCCATACTTATATGCCTGTCGACTCAGTTCATGCAACAATTGAGCGGTTTATCAAAAAACGCGTAGTATGGGCTCCATCAGAATGGTGTACATTGATATCCAACTCTCGTACCAAACCTAAACCATTTGAAACAATAAAAATGGATTTCAGCGACTTCTTAGAATGGAAAAAAATATCTGATGATGTACTAAAACCGAGTAAATTCAAATGTAAGAACGGAAAACCTATAAAAATCAGTGAAATTAAAAATGTAAAATTTGAGAAAGGTAACGCAGATATTATTATAGAGGTTGACTATTTAAATAATGGCCAGAACTGCATCAATTTCACGATGGAATTAAAAGGAAAAAAACCAAAACGGCTTTATTCTCAAAAATTGTCTATTTCCGTTGCAAAGAAAAAAGACTTAATTGATCTCTGCGACAACAATATAATTCCTCTCAGGTTTCAAAATGAATATAGGCTAATGAAAACGTCAGCTATGCCAGATAAGCTAGCAGAATCCGATGAGGAAGACGAAAGCGATGAAGGGCCCCAAGATTAGACTTTTGCTGACTAGCTATGATTCACATTTATTATACCACATGCAATAACATTAGATATTATGACTATTTTTGTAAGTTTATGACTAAAGCGATTTGTTGTTCAGTTAAATGCCTATTGTACTTTTTACTTTTCACAAATAAATTACCTTAAATAAACGATTTTTGGTATTTTTTTATGTATTATTTATGTTACTTTAAGGGGCTGTGTCTAAACATACTTTTTATCGTAAGTGCTGAGCTTACGATAACAATCACAATGTGAAATTATTTCTGAATTTACCAAAATTATCGTAAGTGTTGGACTTGTATAAAACTACAGTAGCAAAATTATTTTTGATGCTTCCAAAGTAACGTAAGTCCAACTACAAAAAAACTGAAACTATTTTGAAGAAAAATCATTACTTTACTTCAAACACTCATCATAATACGTCCGGATGCCAATTTTCACTTCAATTGGACATTTCTAAACACGTTTATTGAAAAAACTGCCGTACTGTAAAATTTACTAAACGAGACTTAAGCTGGATTTATAGTTTGACGTACTGTAGACGTAGACGCACTGGAGACGTAAGAAACGGACTGTAAATATTTTTTCAATTTATAAATGGACGTAGTGGAATTTTTGCGCATGAGTAAAGACAAGAATTGGTGACCCACAACATTCAATATAACCTATAAATTATACAATTATAGGAATCAGATTTCATAATAAACAAAGGGTGTGTGTTTATTATAATATTTTTTTTAACTTTTTTTGCGTGTTAGAATGGATTGTCAAATATACGAAGGTATGCTCCTTGGCGCTGTAGGATTGCTGCTGTGCTGTGTGCAAAAAAAAACTAGAAGGACAATAATAAGGCGACCAAGACGTTATAAAATAAGACCAATAAACCGTAATAGAAAAATAGAGAATGCTTATAATTATTTTTTAAAGATGAAGACAGAAGATCCAGATCAATGTTTGGCATATTTCAATATTGGTGCAATGAACATAACCCATTCTTTCTTTTGATTGGTCAGACGTAAGAAACGCACTGTAAAAGTTGAAAGTTGACCAACTCTTCCGTTACAGTGCGTTTCGCTTACGTCCCGTCTTGCGTTTACGTTCATTTATAAATAGGAGTACACAAAAGTCTATGTTGATCTTTTTCCAGTGCGTCTGCGTCTACAGTCCGTCAAACTATAAATCCAGCTTTACGATGTTATGGCAAAAAGGTATCGATATAAAAATGTCTTTAAAGGTAAAAAAAACCTTTAAAGTTTATAGTCATAGATAAATAATATAATAGTAGAAATAGATAGGCAACTCAATGTATAAATTTCGTTCATTAGGCCCCTTGCGGCTGGGGTCAATACTAATCATCTTTTGGCGGCAAATTCGAATGAACACCCCTTACATACATACCCTTTAGCGCCTCTTGTGGGCTATTTCGTTACTAATTAAAATTTATTGGAAAATAAGGATATAAGATGCACAATTTTTTCTAGATATACGTATATTTGTTGTTTAAGATAAAACAGTTATAAAATAATTACATAATATTTATTACACATATTTGCAGAAGTTAAATACTATTATTTTTTGCTTTCTGACAACTTACTATCATTCTTTTTGTAATTATTCCATGATTTGTACACAACGAACAATACAATAATTCACCATGTTTAGTTTTGTTACTAGCACAACACAAAAATTCTTTGCTACAATAGGTAACTCAAAATAAACTTTAAAAATTAAGTAACCAAATTTAAATTAAAATTACTAAGCATAAATGCAAACGAAAGTTAAAGATAATAAAATAAAATTGAAAACTTGTAAACAAACGGAAGATCTGTCATTAATTTGGATTGACAGAATTGACATTGCTTCGTTTGATTATGTTATTTGGTTTATGATTGGTTAAAGTCTTCGTGAGAGAGATAGGCTGTCATTTCTCTTTATTAACTCGCTGGGGTCAAAGTGATGGGGGAATGAACCAAGTCGTTCATATAAGATTCCAGGCCATGTTTATAGTTTTTAAAAGAAGATTGTCGTATATCAAACCTCAGTTGTCGTTGTCAATACTGTCAAATTTTTGATTTCGCTTTCGGTAAGCTCATAGGTAGCGATGCTGAACATGTTACTGATATTCAGTAATTTAAAAAATTAAGGGATACAGGATTATTTAAAGTCTAGTAAAAGATGACCCATCATTATGTTGTTACGGCTCATAAGCCGACTGCAGTTACAGCCTGCGTAACGGGTATTTATGGATAATTAGATCAATATTTCTGATACTTTACTGGCGTCTTTTGTAGGTAACTTCACATCACCCTCGGACTTGAATCTAATTGTAGCGAAAAACACAAGATTGGAAATTTATTTAGTAACTCCAGAAGGTCTGAGACCTATCAAAGAGATCGGATTATACGGAAAAGTAGCTGTGATGAAACTGTTTAGACCACAAGTAAATACTAACAATATGACTTCCTAATGAAATATCCTTTTTCAAGTTATGAAAAATCTTAAATTCACAATGTTTATTGATGTATTTAGACATTTTTTAAAAATGATTTACCAGCTACAGTACTTGTGAAACATTGCCAAGTTTTTTGTTAAGTTGTGTAAGAAATTGAGACCTGACTTTATGAAAACTGCTTCTTTTGTAAATAAGCTGGAGCTGTAAATTCTATTTTAAGTCAAATTGAACTACCAATGATGTATTTGTCTCCATGTTTTGGTTGTAAATATTGACAATACATTTATCATTTCCCAAAAATAATTACCATTATCTGTAAACTACATAATAAATTGAAAATAACTTAATTCGCTGATCCAAAACATTTGCTTTCTTCCTATTCTAAGTTTGCCCTCAAGCTTCTCCTGCTTAGTTTATTAAGCACCATTGCCTTCAAAGTCCAAATTGTCATCAGGTTCAGTCATATGGATTATCTATAGTATTTTACATATAATTACAAGATCCACATTGATATTTCTACTTGTGAATCCTTTTCTATCCTGCATATTATTTGTTTACCTGGATCCTACTTTTCATATAACTCTTTCCAGTTTTATTTTATCTAGGAATTATTTATAATGAGAGTATGTGTCATCCAAGTATGTGTCATAGAGTTGAACATTATTTTCTTCTCATTATCTTAAAATTGTTCTAAAGTCAGGTTATATGCTTTGCTTACAGGATTTATTACTTGTAGTGGTTTTTAATGGTTTTATCTATTAATATTGCAATGTAATGCTGTGAATATTGTATATATTGAACAAAAATGCAGAGAAAATACATTTTTGACTTATTCCCTAACAATAATACATAAATTACTGGATACACTAAATTCCTTTACTGTGAAGTATTGTTAATCTAGTTCTCTGATATCTTTCAGAGTGTTTGCAAAGTATATATTTGTATATTTAGGAATACTCTTTTGTGAATCAAAATAGATTCTTGTTAATTCAGCCAGATTTTCCCAAAATTTTCTTGGTACAAGTCTTGTAGAGCTTCCAGGAGGCACATAACTTCTATTATTAGAATATGATTAGGGCAAGCATGCAATCCAAAACACTTATTTACTTAAAATAACGGTTTTGGATGATGACAAATGTGAGCATTGTGGAGAGGAAAGTGATTAAGATCATATATTTTTTGGTTGTTCTAAAAATACAGTCTACTCATCCAAACTTATAAATGATTTATTCAAATATAAAATAGCAGCTCCTTGGAATATACTATATTAATTATCACTTGGCTCTGTAGATGTTTACAACTTTTTAATTAAATTTTTAGAAGACAGCAAATTATCATTATAATTCTCTAAAAATTATTTAGTTAATCTTGTTACCTTTGTTTTAACCCATTTAGGTCAATTGTAATGATGAATACTGTTTTATTCCATTTGTGTCTGGCTGTATGACAATAAGTCTAAGCAAAAAAAAGGAAAAGTTTTTGGAAAAGTTGTAAGAACAAATATTGTAAACACATACAAACATAAAACAGCCTAACTCAAGTTCGGTAAAGAAACATGATGAGAAAGATAACTACTGTGCAACAGGTGTCAAATAGACAGCATGATAAGCCACTACAGTAATATCTATCCATATTATGTTATATGGAAAATAAAGGAATTGGCATTATGCTATTGAACAGAGTTCCCATTATGAAGTACTTTTTAGTACTGCTACTTTACAGCAGCATGTGTTTCTTCAACAATTGTTGATGTATTTTGATTGGATTAAACTGGAAAAGCTTACAATATGATCAATAAGTCTTTGGAGTAAATGAGATTTGAAGCATTGAAACTATTGTAGATTCTATAGAAATTAATCAATTAGATAATTACTAATCTTCTATTTTATATAATTTACCATTTTAACCACAATTTTATGAGTTTATTTTGATGTTTCAATTTCAACTTCATAAATTGTTTTCAAAATACAAATTTTAGAAATTGAAACATCAAAATAAACATTTTAAACTAAATTTGAGGTTAATTCCATATAAAAGTAGCAAATCATATTAAAATGTCACAAGAAAATATCTCCAGAACACCACTTTATAATTATTGTACTAAACTTGTATGCATAGAAATCAGCCCACTTTAAACTGGACTTCTTTTCAGAAATTATTACTACTTTGATGCAGCATTCTGCAAATCATTCTGCAGGCATGCTTGACAATGAGCTGCAGTAAGTTTTTGACCAATTTCAGGTACTTACGGATCAGATTATTTTCTTCCAGTCTTCGTCTTACTGTCCACTGACTTATATCCACTCCTCTTACTTCATGGAGCTGTTGTTGCAATTGAACAGCATTAAGGGAATTGTTGATAAGATGTTTCTAATAATGACATAGTAAAGCGATAATCACGAGCAGTTATATTTTGCTTTCTACCTGTTTCAGTTCACTTACAAAAGGTTCCAGTCTCGTCATAATGTTGAAACACTCTTTATGTGTCATATCCAGTTGTACAGCTATAGCTCGCCGTCTAAGTCCATTTTCCATTAATGCAATAACTTAGGTGACTCTCTTTGATGTAGTATCCATTAAACATATACACACTTGAACATGAATTAATTATGAAAAACGAACAATATGCAATTTTTGTTGCCAATTAAATAATATAATAAACAAATTTTGACAAATTTCTTGGTTGTTGGTTTGTTTGTGTTTAAATGACTGCGGACACTAAATCCATTCGCCAATCTTACAATTTGAGGTGTAGTGTGTGTGTGTGTGTGTGTGTGTGTGTGTGTGTGTGTGTGTAGAGTAATAGTCTTGATACTTAGCAAAGTCGACGTCATTGTCTTTGCTAAGAGACGCTAATTGTATCCGAACGTCTGCGGTCCCTCCGGTGTGTACCGATCACACAAGGATAGAAATTATTTTCACTTATTAATTTTTTTAATAAACGAAAATTTCCACTCAGGTGGGATTCTAACTCACGACCTTTAGATTTAAAGGCAGGCGCTCTTACCACTGAGCCACAGAGGGGGTTAACAAATTTCTTATCGTTATAAATATCAAATAAACACTTTTCAATGTTTATTGGTTGCTACACATATAAATGATAAGCAATCCGTAACAAATTTATACTCATATTAAAACATATTAAATTATATTTCAATATCCCTTTTTTGATCCAGGTAATTGTTTAAAAAAATATATAGTTCAATTCAAAAGTTTAAAGTGGACCAATTTCTATGCATGCAAGAAGTTTATTTCATTCATTTTCCCTTACTAAGATTTTTTGTTGCTTTGATTTACTTCACAGCAGTATTGGTTGCTTCAACACCTGTTGGTGTATCTAAATTTAATTAATATATAAAAACAAACTTGAATTAAAAAAGTCTTTGAATTAAGAGTCATCATCATCAGTAGCTCGACAACCCTTTCTGGTTCCTGGCTTGTTCTAAGATTTTCCGCCATTCTCTTCTGTTCCTTGCTTTGTTTTTCCAGTTGGTAATCTTAAGTGTTTTCAGATCTTGTTCCATGTATCTAAGTTTGGGTCTTCCCTTTGACCTTCTCGTTAGTGGTGTTTGCCTCATTATATGTTTTGTCGTTTCAGTCTCCAACATCCGTTCAACATGGCCCATAAGAGCGCAGACGTCCGATCTTTATGGATGTTATGATCTCGCGTTCATTGTATGCTGTGTATTGTTCAAAGTTATATCTTCTGCGCTATATGTAATTTTCCTTTACCCCCTTATATATGTGTCTAAGGATTTTTCGTTCAAATGTACCTAATAGCTTCTCATCGCTTTTTGACAGTGGCCATGTCTCTGATCCATATACAAGGACCGGTTTTAACAGAGTCTTTTATATTTTGCAATTGGTTTTTCTTCTGATGTTGTTAGATCTTAGATGTTTAATCAGTCCATTATATATTTTATTAGCAATATGTATTCTTCTCTTAACTTCTTTACTGATATTGCTATCTGTGGTAACTAGCGAACCTAGATATGTAAAACTTTTCACGTCTTCGATGTTATAGTCTCCTATTGTTAGATTCTGTAGTTTCCTTTGGCCTGTCGATTTACTGGCCTTCATGTATTTGGTTTTTATTTCGTTAATGTTTAGGCCACTGTTTTGTGCCACTCTTTCTATTGTATTAAATGCTTCTATCATCTCTTTTTCGCTTCTAGTTATGATATCAATATCATCTGCAAATGCCAATATTTGTACACTTTTTGTTATTAGGTATTGTTCCTTGAGTGAATTAAGAGTGTAGGTGTAAAATGCATTCATGCTTTTACAATGCTTTTTAAATGCATTCATTTTTTTCGAATCCTGAGAGAACTAATAAGTATTTTAAAAAAATTTAAACTCAGAATGAGAGATTACATTATTACTGAGGGCCGAAAGTCCCTGAAAACTTCTATAATGTTTATTTTAAAAAGTTACAAGGGTGAAAAAGAAGAGAAAATTTAGTGTGATTTTTAATTTCCAAAAAAAGATCACTTGAGAAAGGTAATTTTTTGTATTCATCATTTTAGATTAGATCATTCATTTTTTATTAAGTTTTACACAAAAAATCTCTTGCAGAATGAATGGAAAGATTTATTATTTATTGTAACATTAAGATACAATGCTATGATTTTGGAATGTGTTACTGATGGTGAAAACATAGACATTGTTACAAAGGCTCATGGAAATGTTGCTGACAGAATTGGTAAACCATCAGAAACTGGAATATTGGCTGTAATCGATCCAAAAGCTAGAGTAATTGGTCTCAGACTTTATGAAGGACTTTTCAAAGTAATTCCTTTGGATAAGGATAACTACGAGTTGAAGGCAACTAATTTTAGGTGAGTATATTAAAAACCACTTTATTTCTGTGTTTTGCTATATACTTTTTATATTAAATTAGGTTTTTACAAAATTTATTCATTTAGGGGTACTAAGTAGATTATATATCTAGATTCCTCGTCATAAGTTCGTCCAGCTAATAGTTCTCGGGTGGTATTTTAATTCCCAACTACCCGCCAGTCGTAGGACCAATTAGGGCCTTCCCTGGTCCACTTTGTCCCGTTTTTAAAACAGTTTTACGGAATCCTATGGTACTTTATCGAAGTCGAGGTATTTAATATAAAAAAATGGTCTCCACTGGATACGCTGGAGATATGAAACATAATCTTCTTTTGAAAATAATATTAGAACTAAAAATAATTGTACCTACATATTAAAATTAGTAAACACCAATACCACATCAAGCAATTGAAAATGGTTTATTAACCATGTATTAATTTTTTACTTCAACATGCATTTACGTTAACTGTAGCTAAGACTATTATTTAGATATTTTAATTCATTCATTATTAAGTTATTATTTGTTACTTTTTTTTTTTTCGTCAATATTGAGTTTTTTTAGGATGGAGGAACTTCAAGTATATGATGTAGAGTTCTTACATGGTTGCGTCAACCCGACATTAATATTAATTCACCAAGATGGCAATGGTCGCCATGTAAAAACTCGTGAAATATCTCTCAGAGAGAAAGAATTCGTTAAAATCCCATGGAGACAAGACAATGTAGAAACCGAAGCATCAATTATTATCCCAGTACCTTCACCTCTTGGAGGAGCTATTATAATAGGCCAAGAGAGTATTTTGTACCATGATGGTATTACTCCTGTTGCGGTTGCACCAGCAGTAATAAAAGTAAGTACATATTCGCTCAGAGGTGGTTTAGTCTTAAATTGTATAGTGGTAATAGTATTGATCTAAGATTATAATGTAAGTAAGTATCTTCTTAAAGTAGTTGCTTATATTTAACTTTTCAAATATCACACTATCATTTTGAATCATTCTCAGTATTTCAAGTTATGAAATTTAAGAGTTAAAAGTTGGTTACAGTTTTTAAAGACAGATTATTCTGTTGCTCCTGTATAAGTTCATATTTTTCTTCAATAGATCAAAATCCTGTTATTCGCTCCGTGCATGACCATGGTAGGGGTACATTGAAACGATGCCGCGTAGCGGCGAAATATGACAAAATTGGAATATGGGACAAAATATTTTTAAGACAGTTTTACATTATGCTATTTTCATGCTAGGCAAGAGCCATGCAAGACAGATCATGGAACTGCGCATGCCCACGGGCTATTTCCATGCAATTCCTGTGCTAGACGAAAAATTCGAACATGTTCTATTTTTCATGCTATTTTCTTGCAATTTATCGTTAAAATTCATGTTGCCAACATAACAATTTATAATAGATTACAGAATAAAACATAACCTTATCTCTATCTAGCGTCCCTTAGCCCACGTGTGTATTGTTGTGTTTTGATTTAAATTAAGTTTATTAAGTGATGATAAATAGATATACTATGTCTAAAGTTAATGTAAAAACGACTGGGTAAGTCGTTGACTATGGATGATTGTTGCTATAACAGCAATATTCAACAATAACAATGTATTCTTTTCTTTGGTTGACATGCTTCACCCTTTTAATAACCATAAATAGTGTATATTTATTTATTATATTATTTATTTTAGTACTTAATTATATTTATTTAAAATAAAATAACCTCAAATTGATACATATTTTCTCTGTTGGCAACAATGAAAGTGGGATCTAAAATTGCACAGAAATATCTCTGATGTAAAAAGGTCAAGCTAGGCAAGAGATGTGCCATGCAAGACGGACTTGCATAGCATGAGACTTGCATAGCCTAGATGTAAAGCTGCCTTTACGCATAAGTTTATCAAAAATGTGTGCAAATACATGTTGCGTATTTAATTCTGCTAATAATAGCAAAAACAGTGAGTGTAGTTTTTATAGGTTCCCAAAGATTACATATAAATTAGAGAAAAGAAAAAGATGAATTCGTGCTATTAATATGAAAAAGTAAATATCACATCATTTCATTTTTATGCAATTGAAATAGGAACAATTTAAATAATTTACCTTGAATGATATTTCATAAGGCTTCAAGTTAACTGCAGATGACTTTAGCTTTTATATCATAACTTTTACTATTATTGTTTTTAATTATATGCTCTTTTGCGTGAAAAATTTGATTTGCCAGTACTAGATTTTTCGCTTTCTTTTCCGTTTGGAGTTGAAAAGATATATTATGATGAATTTTGAGAAACTCAGTTTTTAATACTACAGTTATTTTGTACATAAACTGAAAAAATATAGTTAAAAAACTAATTTATTAATAATTGTCATTGTCAGATGAAGGCGGTAGGTGTCGCATCAGTCACGCACGGAGCGAATAGGATGACATTAAATATGTTTTTTTGTATTTGTGTAATTGTAAATTTAATGTTTATGCTTTTTTTTGTTTTTCAGCAAAGTACAATAATATGTTATGCTAAAGTTGATCCAGGAGGTCTCAGATACCTTCTTGGTGATATGGCGGGCCATTTATTCATGTTGTTCATAGAAACCGAATCCAGAGGTGACGGTAACGAAGCAGTTAAGGACCTAAAGGTTGAGTTATTAGGCGAAATCGCAACTCCTGAATGTATAACGTATCTTGACAATGGTGTGCTTTTCATTGGATCGAGAATTGGGGATTCGCAATTAGTAAAACTAAACACAAAAGCAGACGAGAATGGTTCTTATGTAACTGTGATGGAGTCTTTTACTAATCTGGCACCGATTTTGGATATGTGTGTTGTAGACTTAGAAAGGCAAGGCCAAGGACAGCTGGTTACTTGTTCTGGAGCGTTTAAAGAAGGATCTCTTAGGATTATAAGGAATGGTATTGGAATTCAAGAACATGCTTCTATAGATTTACCAGGAATTAAAGGAATGTGGTCTCTCCAGATAGGAGGTAAGCCTTTATCTAATCATTTTTATACAATTTGTAAAAAAAAAACTAAATTTGGCATGTTTTTTATTAGCAATATATTTATTTAATTAATAAAAAACTTAATTAACGTTTTGGTTTACAGTTCTAATGCTAGAACAGAAATAATTAATTATTTATGTGATATCATTTCATTAAATGATTGTAAAATTACAATGTTCTGAAATACTCGTATAGAATATAATCTAACGGTCTCGTCTGACAATGTATGCGGTCATTTAACCCATTTTTCTCTAATATATTATTTGAAAAACGATCCAATTGTTCTGAAATAGTTCTATTAAAAGATAAATTTCTTGTCGATTCCTGGCAACTTCCCTACATCTTCTGACCCTTAGAATCTGTAGCCACAATCTTCTTCCACGTCATCAATCCATCTCCTTCGGGATCGTCCTCTGCTACTTGTGCCCTCTGGTTTTGAAGATGTTAATCTCTTCGTGTATTCGTGACCTGACATCGAAGCAACGTGTCCATCTAAGTCTCTGCACTTTAAAGAATTTCACAATATATGGATCAGTGTATAACTGATATAGTTCAAAGTTGTATCTTCGACGCCATAGCCCATTTTCATTTACAGCCCCAAAAATCAAGAATTTTTCTCTCAAAAATACCAAGAAGTCTTTGATCATTTTGAGATAAGGTCCGCGTTTTAGCCCCATATTTTAAAAACCGGTCTTATTAAGGTCTCGTATATTTTGAGCTTTATTGCACATTTTATATTTTTATTTTTTACATGTTTCTGGAGACCGTGAACAGTTCTGTTTGCTATTGCTAAGCGTCTTTTATTTCGTCGCTTATCGTATTTGTTGCAATCACTAACGATCCAGGATATGTGAATTCTTTCAAGTGCTCGAAGGTATGGTTGTTAATTTGAATTCTATGTTGGATATTTCGGGGGTTTTGAGAAACCAACATATATTTGGTTTTTTCCTCATTTACCAAAAGTCCTAATTCACTTACCGCATCCGAAGCTTTTTAAAACACTACACCGTGTCTCTCATAGTGCAGTCAAAAGATAAATTTAAACACTAATAAAGAAAATGATTTAGAATGCGTATGGGTTAGGTACCTAAGTATTATTGAATCATCCTTGTAATAAAGGAGCTACCATACCCAACAAAAACGTATTTTTTCTTTATATTATTCGTAATGTCAATCAATCGTGATGAAATGCTCATCAAGATTAAATAACATCAAAAAGTAAAAAAAAATTGCTGTACATAAATAGAATAGGTTATATAAACTTTTGGAACCAAAAATTGTTATTTGTACTTTTAAACAATTTTGAAAACATAAAAAATTGAAAGGTACTGCAACAAACTAGTTTTTTCGGAAATTCTTATTATTTATGTTATATAATGGCACTACGCTTACGAATTTGTGTTGAGAGAATGTTACTTCGAGCAACATTTAGTACCTTTTATTTTTTTGTGTATTTTGTAAAGCGATTTTATTCTTTCAGGCAGTAAGCAGGATAATACTCTCGTTTTGTCTTTCGTCGGCCAAACTCGAATTCTAAGTCTAAACGGAGAAGAAGTCGAAGAAACGGAGCTGCCAGGATTTGCTTCTGATCAACAGACATTTACTTGCAGCAATGTGGTTCACGATCAGTTGGTTCAAATTACGCCACTATCAGTTAGATTGGTGTCGGCACAGAACAAAACATTATTGGCGGAATGGAAACCACCAACGGAGAAGAATATTAGCGTGGTATCCGCGAATACATCTCAGGTTATAGTCTCGACCGGTTCGGCATTATATTATTTGGAGATACATCCGAACGAGTTAGTATTAAAAGGGTGAGTATTCCATTGTATACTATACAATGTATAGTTTATTTTGTGTTTTATATATACATTATCTTTGAAGTTAATAACACGTCATTCAATTTTGACGCAAACTTATTCATACAGTGTTGCCTAATGTTAGGGTTATGAAAATATTAATAACCTAAAAAATTCTAAATTAAATTTTTACTGACGCTAAAAGCGAAATGCAGAAAAAAATGTTTTGAAGTGTAGCATTGTCAAAAAAGGTACTATAGTCTAGATTTGCCTCAATACAGATTCTCAGAATATTTTTATAACTGAGGAGGTTGAGACTGTAAAACACCGTCCTTTCCAGATAAGAGGATTGTTGAACAACTACAGATTGAGCTATACTTTTATATCACACTTTGATGGAAAATATTTGTCTTTAAAATTTATATTGATTTAAGATAATATTTAATAACACATATTATTTTACAGCAATACTGTGTTAGATGTAGAAATAGCATGTCTTGATATAAGTGCGTTGGGTGAAAATCAGACGTCAGATTTTGTCGCTGTGGGCCTATGGACTGATATATCCGTACGATTATTAAGGTTACCAGATTTAGTTGAATCAACTAAGGAACTCCTAGGAGGAGGTATGTATAGATATTCTAGAACATTACTATACATTATTCATTACTTTAAAAGCTATCCTGCTGGTCTAAATGTAAATAAGAAAATATTTTAGTAAAAATTGGATCTTTTTACAATGGAGAATATCTGGTGATATTTTTACTCTTAATTTTATCTTCAGTCTTCTCAATTTTTTACCATGCTCTTATAGAGGTGTTATTTTTGTATTTACAATTTCTGATGTTTAACATTCTTTTGTGATATTGATATTACAGCATCTTTCGATATGTGTATAAGCAGTAATCTTGGTGGTTGGGCTAGTGCAGTGTTATTTTCTTTGAATTGTTTTAAACATTGTGCAGTTTAATACTGTGCAGAATTAATATGTGTGTCACAAAAGATAAATAAATCATAAAAACCATTCAAATCAAAAAATTAACTTAGCGATGTAAAGAGAAATAATCTGAAAAAGACCCCTTAAAGAACAATAACACTGGACTTAAAATATAAGACAGTGGAGTGAACAAACAACCGAATCTCATGATATCAATTATTAAGGTAATGATCGCCAAGATGATAGCTAATGTCCCATAAACGGATACAACATAAAATAATCACAATATTGATGTTAAAGTTTTTCCCTATGGAAGTCGTCTGACACCTGTCATTCTGCAGTTAATTTTGGTATACCCAGGGTTTTGCATTGAAATTTATCATAAACTATAAATAGAGTGTTTTATATAATATTTTATATTTCTTTTTAGAAATAATTCCTCGTTCATTATTAATGGCGAGCTTTGAAGGCCAAAATTACTTACTCTGTGCATTAGGAGATGGATCCATGTACTACTTTAGCCTGCATAAAGATTCGGGATCGCTAACCGAGAAGAAAAAAGTAACGTTGGGTACTCAGCCCACAGCTTTAAAAACTTTTAAATCTCTTAGTACAACAAATGTCTTCGCCTGTTCTGATAGACCGACTGTAATATATTCTTCTAATCATAAATTAGTATTTTCCAACGTGAATATGAAAGAAGTCAATCATATGTGTTCGCTGAACGCGGAAGCCTATCCTGACAGGTCAGTATCATTATTTTAATTTTTTTGTCGAGTATTTTAAGTATACTGTTTGGGATTAAAATCTCCAGTTGGCATGGATAAATGAAAAATAAAAGGAAAATCCCAGTGGTTGGCTGAATACCATAGTTTAAAAAAACTTACAAGGAAGTGAAAACTTGTGTGTATATTTATTAAAAATTTAAATTATCAAAAAAAAAATAAAAATGTCATAACGTTTTCTTGATCCTATTAGTACATTATCACTGAAAACGTCTTAAAAAGTAGTAGGAACTAGCCACATGTGAAGTCGGGTAGTGTATTTCAGCCAGAGAAACAGGATTCGTTCGTATAGACATTTATTTCGAACTAACATATACAAATAAAAAAAAGTAATTAACGTTAAGTGTTTACCGAATATAATGCTTAAATACAAGAACGTACTGTTTATTTATTTCGGTAGATGGGTGTGACGATATTCGATATGATAAACTAAGATATGGCGATCGAGGAATTGAGCTCGTACTCGTTCCTCAACGCAGAACGAGTACTCGGACGGGGATAAAGATGTCTATCTAGTTCAACACACTAGATGGAAAGAATACGTCAATCTCGTTCAACGCACCAGATTGACGCGGTCAGAGGAAGGATTGTCAATCTCGCTCAGCACGCCAGATCGACTGGGTTCGGAAAGGATTTGGGACACGTTCAACTCACCTGTCCCCAAGGTCGGATATTCTCAACTCAACGCGACGAGAATGGTTAGCTGTCTTTCAGTTTCGATTTTTATACTATTCGAGATGGAACAAAAACGTGTTTTGTTTAACACATAGGCATACTCTAGACGATAAAATATATTATCGTCACACACTAATGAGGTTAGATGAACCTTAAATTACATAAGTTAAGTAACGAACATTATAATTCTTAAGAGACTAGGTCGATGATAAAGGATTACATTTTTTTAAGGGAACCTTAAATTTTCCAGCTCGAAAGAGGGAAGCTTACGCTGTGAGAGGTAACAAACAACTGTTTAAATGTTTGTTATATTTTTTTTAGTACATATTTTTGTATAATTGTTTAATTTTTTGTTCTGAGGGTAAAAATAGACAAGTTATAAGTTATACAAGGTAATACTAGGGTTTCGTTTCAATATTTAATCGATATTCGATAAAAAAATAATATTGAAGAAACTTAAACAAAAAACCTAAAATTTCAGTCACCAATGTCAGTTATTTGAATAAGCATTACAAATTGCAATATTGAAATATTTTATTTACTGCTATGTGACATTCCTAAATGGTTGTCTAATCGTTTTATATCAATAAAATTTGAATTATTGTTTATAATAAAATTTTATGATCCCTATGAATGTTTTGTTTTGGATACTTTGTCGTGATTCATGAAGTGAATGCAACAGAGCGCATTTACAATTTTTGTGTCGTATCAGATTTTTTCATTATCGTAACATAACAAAGCAATTTAGATATTGGTAAGAGCTTTCATTTATTTATACTCCAGCGAAGAAATAATTAAATAAGTCATACGCCTGATATCATAAGTTCTATCCTTATAAGTTTTACCAAGAAGCATATCAGTTGGCGTGGTGATTATTTTGTGCGTAAACGACGTTCTGACCTCCCGGGGACCGCGTATTTAATAATTAAAAACATGCATTATTGAAGAAGAAAAGCTAGTTTTTCATTTTTAGTATATTATGTTAAATATAATTAACCATTGTATACAAAAACTTTTCAGGACAAAAAATTATTTTAAAAATTTCTGTTAAAATATATTTTCTGAAAATGTTGCCATGAAAAAGAAATTACTTGAAATAAATCATTAATAATAAGAAAAATTAATCGAAATTCATATATATATATATATATATATATATATATATATATAATATATATATATATATATATATATATATAATATATATATATTATATATATATATATATATAAGCGGGGATCCTACAGCTTCTGCCGCTTTCCGCATTTCGTTCGCCATCTTTTTCTATCTCTACAGGTGTCTTCATCAATGGCTCTGTCTTTCATGGTTTCCATTACACCTTGTATCTCCAAGACTTGGCTGGTCTTCCTCGTTTCCTTCTATTACTTGGATTGTATTCCATAGCTCTTTTTGGACATCTGTTATCGTCCATCCGCTGTACGTGTAAATACCATATTAACTGTCTAGTTTCTATTCTTTCAGAAGTTGTATGTACTCTATCTGTTTTTCTTCTAATTTCAGAATTAAGTATACGTTCTACTCTTGATATACGGCAAGCTCTTCTCAGGTAGTCCATTTCAACCGTGTCAACTTTTTTTCTTTCCTTCTACTGTCATTTGCCAACATTCTGCTCCATATGTAAGAATGGGCTCTACTTTGTAGATAGTCATTTTAGTTCTCATAGTAGCTTTGTTGGACCATCAAATTCAGAATTTGAACACTCTTCCTGCCTTGTTGCACTCTATAGTCTATATCTCGTTCCGTTGTTCCTTTACTGCAGATAATACTTCCCAAATATTTGTATTCACCTTATAGCACCTTTTTATTTGTCTAATTTCCAAATCCGGGTCTTCGTCTTCACTGCCTATTCGCATATATTCTGTTTTTGACATATTCATACTCATCCCCCATTTTTCGTATTCATCTTTGAGCTTTCTAAGCATATAATCTGCATCTTCTTCACAGCTTGCAATTAGTACTTGATCATCTGCAAAGAAGAGCGTTGTCAGATAATGGTTGTTAAGCTTCAACCCTATTCCCGCACATTTTTGTCTCCATTGGTGCAGTGCATCTTGGATATATATTTTGAATAGGGTGGGGAAAGACAACATCCTTGTCTCAAGCCTTTCGTTACTGTAAATATCCTTGAGAAAGTATTTCCTGTTTTTACAGTGCTTTGAGGACATTTATACTGCCCTACTAAGCGAAAAGGGGGTATCTGTCATTTTCATTGTTTTGAGTTAAGAAGGTATTTAGATTTCGTTTATTCGCATTGTTGTTTTGTGTATAATATTTAAGTTTAAATCGAAAATATACATAGTTTTCTTTTGTTTTTTTTATAAATATAATAAAATTATTCCATTTAAATTTTTTACTAAAAAAATTATAGTTACCCCCATTATTAAGAAACCATTATAGGTTAGATACTAAGATAAAAACACAGTATCTACATGTACACATTTATTTTTACATGATTTGGTTTAATTATCAAAGTAATTTCCACAAAATAACTTAAATACTAAATTTATTATTAATCATCATCATTATTTTGCTCAAGGTACTGAGTGGTAGATATTTCTTTCCAAAAATTTAAACGATTTTTTGGCATGATGGCATTGTCGGCTTCTAAAAGCTTTGAAATAATATTATTTCGTCTTTCTTCTGTGATGTCTCTTGGGTTTTCTTTGGTTCCTGGAGCTGGTATTATTCCAGTCTTTGTAATTTTTGCATTCAAAAAATTTAATGTTAAATCAGGGCCCCTAAAATTGTTTTTATAAATTAGTGACATTGATCCCCTGTGGGCTGTGATTTGAACAATATCCTGAATATATGGCCGCTCACTATGTGCTTTTTTAAGTTTATAAGCAGATGAAAAATCCTGCCAGTCATAGAAATCATGTAGTTCCATTTCCAAAACTATAACCCTCCCAGAATTAGCTTGTAGAACAGCTTTTTTAAAATCTGGAAAGTCGTAAACTTTCTTAGTTTTTCGTAGAGATTTTTCTACTTGATGGTGGAATGCGTCGGCACTCATAATGTGTGACCTGGTTCGAAGTAATTTATTTCTATTACTTCAGCAGAAATATCAGTTGAGTTTATTATATAAACTAAAAACGTAAAAAACGCCCAGTTTTTATTTTGAGAGGTACAATTATCTACCCATAGAACAATTTTTTTCGCATCTCTCTGAAATATTAAGAATTTGTGATAGGTACTTATTATATCTTCTTTTTTTCGCCCTTGAATTGCCTCGTGCCAAATTGTAGCTACAGGTTTAATGTTTCTGTTTTAGTGCATATAAAAAAAAAAACAAACAAAAATAAAAACAAAAACAAAGCAACAAAAAAAAATTGAAAATTAAAATATATATATTTAAAAGCAAAACTAAATTCTACATAGAAAAAAAAATAAAAAAAAAACAAATTACACTGCTCACACTTAACTTTAAGCACTACTAATACTTTAAGCATTGTTATTGTGAAGAAGGATGAGTTTTCTTTTTAAGTTTCCTTTTTTAAATTATTATAGGTAAAAAAAAATCTTCTGGCTAATTGGTCTTTACCAAAGCCATCTAATGAAATAAAAAAAATGTTTCTGTTTTTAGTCCCTACCGGAACGAAACTTTCGTTATAAGCAATCAATCTTTGAGTAAATATAACCGATTTAAACATGTCGCACCGGGGTAACATTATTACTTTTTCCAAATCAACGGAATATATAATTTCTCCTTCTTCTGGTTTCTTATTGGCATATTCTTTGTACAGCAGACGTGCATCTTTACTCCTTTTTATATGATTGGACCACCTCTGACACTCGGAACAATCATTTTGTAAATTTTCTTCGGAGTGTGGATGGATTTTAAAATGCTCACACATTTCGCATTCTTCGTGACCCAACGTTACAAAAGATATATTTAACTTTTGTACTATTGAGCGGTATAAATCATAAGAACAAGTTATTTTAGGATTCTTCTCTTGAAAATTGCTAAACATATCTTTGATGTTTACATCACTTGGTAAATAACGTCGCTTAGGTGCATGTTCCCTACGATAATGAGATATCGATGGGTTGAAAGATTCTATATGTTTTTCTATTACTGTATGATCCAATTTATTATGAGGTAGACTTCCACGGTTTTTATGTGGCTTTGGTGAGATTAATGAGTTCGAAGATTTACAAAACCTCTGTAGAATTTTATCATTATTTTTGTGAAACCCTATAGTTGTAAGAAAAAAGGTTCTACAGGCTGACTTACATTCTCCGTCCGCCGTTTTTAAAGAGTAGCTTAAAGTATTCGATCTTCGAGAATCTAATCCAACAGTTTTACGTTTTACGTTTGTCTGGCTAATGCTGGACAACATAAATTGATGCTGTTGTTGACGGTCTAAATTCCAGAACTGATTGTTTATATCAATTCTTCTTTCCTGATTTATTTTTGTGTTACATGTTTTCTTACAGTTATTACCACATCCATCTCTAACAGAATGTGAATCCTTTAGTTTATTCTGTTTAATTATTTTTATTTCTCTAACTGAATATTTAAATTTTTTACGTCTTCGTTGTTCCCCTTTCTTAGTAAAGCGTGTGTCTATTTCTTTTTCATCTCTTTCTTCAATTTCTCTTCCACCATCTTCTAAACTGGCAGGCTGAAATTCATTTTTACAATTATAGCTGGCTAATTCAGGATTATTGTCCAATACGACCTCCATTGTCATATTTGTTCCCAAATCAGGTAGTTCCAACGTATTTACTTCAGCTTCTATAAAAGTTTCTGAATCTGAAAGCAAATTTGTAATGTTTGTTGTATCAACAGAATTTGCTGGAATTTGAATATCACTATTCTCCAATAAAACAATTGGCGCATTTTCAATAATATTTTCCCATTCCACACCACTACTAATGTATGTTGAGCTGGCCATAGCTAAGTCACACAACCTTTTTCCTCTACTTTTACTCATCTGAAATAAAAAAAAAAATGTTTTACACGACTTTCTATCCATAAACGCAAAAATTAGATTTTAATAAAATGCATTAATAAATTACAAATTATTTCGTTGTTAAGTATCTTTAATTTGTAAAAACATTGCAAAGAATCAGTAATTAAATGAAATAAGTAAATTCGCAATGAAATTGGTAGTACTTTTTTGTCGTGTAAAACAAATCAGACTACATCATCTAATATAAAAAAATGTTTTACACGACTTTCTATCCATAAACACAAAAGTTAGATTGTAATAAAATGCATTAATAAATGACAAATTATTTCGTTATTAAGTATCTTCAATTTGTAAAAACATTGCAAAGAATCAGTAACTAAGTAAATTCGCAATGAAATTCCTTTTTTGTCGTGTAAAACAAATCAGTCTACACATTTTAATTTGAGGTTATGGTAGCAAAATAAACAACTTACCTCTAAATCTGTAGTAAAGCGGAGTTTACATTGGTATAGTTACTTGCACCAGTTACTTGTACAAGTATATCCAGGACAGTTCACATACGCAAGTTGACATGCTAGTAAGTGTTTACACATAAAAGATTATTTATTTACCAGTTCCCGACGAGCACCAGATGCGTAAAGATGAAACATTTCCATTGCCGGCGCCGTGCTTTGTACAATAATACAAAATTAATAATTAAAAATCGTATTAAAAAAAATAAGGTTGCGAATATCGAGAATTTTAATTGAAGAAGCTGTTAATTTGATTGAAGAAGAAAAAGTCGTCCAAAAAGGATATGGGTTCGAAGGTGGACTGATAGAAGAATTACAAGAGGGGCATCCACTCTTCTTTTAAAAGAACTTCGTATGAAAGTTCCTGAAGAATATAAATTATGCCTTCGGTTGACAACGAGTAAATTCAAATTGCTAAATATGGTTCTGCCTAGAATTCAAAGAAGTGACACGCTTTTAAAAGACGCCTTACCAGCGCACGTTAAATTAGAAGTTGCCCTCAATTTTTTGGTAACAGGAAATAGCTATAGAACTTCCAACATTTTTTTTTCGAGTTCCAAAAACATCAATATCTAAGTTTGCACCAGAAGTTTGCGACGCAATTTCCGCAACAGTAAATCCCTCAACGCCCATATGTGTTGAACTAATTGTTCTAAAGCTGTCGATCTCATTTGATTATTTCTATAACTTTGTTTGGTAACGTTCCAGAGACATTCGTGTTCCCGATAAAGTTCAACAAATTTAACAGTTTCTCCCTCGGACTACTTCATTATTTCACTTTTAACAGTAAAATTAAAAAACAATATCGAAATAGAAAACCGCGACACTGCTCTCACAACGTTATTTGCCAGGACACTTGCACACCCGTCTACACTCGACTAGTTACCAAACCACTTGCCATGCTACTTGCGTCGAGGCGAAAATGTGGTGGAAAGGGAAGGACAGTAGGCAAGTAAATAGATGGGCTAGCTATTTACTTACCTGTCCTCGCTACTGGTACAAGCACTTGTACAAGTACTTACCCGGTAGGTTGACATTGGGTTAGTTGTTGCCTTACAAGCTACTGGTACAAGCAACTAACCCGTTTACTATACCAATGTAAACTCCGCTTAAATCATTCACTATTCAATATTTCAATGTTTACAATTGAATATTTAAATACACACTTTAATATTACTAGGTTGTATTACACCAAAATAAACAAATAAACTAAAAGAAATACTATTTTTGTGTATGATATGTCTAGACACGATGAATAAATGTGCTTACTATTATGTAAAATTACTAAGCGATTCTGGCATTAAGTGACGTGTACTAAGCAGTTCCAGCCGTAACTGCACAAGTTCGTGTAGATACAACCATTATTGTCTAGTATCAGTAGTTACCGCCAAATTGCTTAGTATATAACGTATGCTTTGTAGATACCTCTAAATATATAGCCTAAAATATAATATTTGTAAAGTAGATACGACCAATTCGCTTTAGTATTAGATAGAATAAGGTGTAATTATTGACTAGACATTAATATCTCATTTTTGGAAAAAAGTGTAGATACCCCCTTTTCGCTTAGTAGGGCAGTATAGATGTTCAGTATTGCTTTCAGATACATTTTACTAAGGTCCGTTTTCGTCGAGACACTAAATAAAAGTTTTAAAGGAACTGTATCATAATCAAAATTCATACATATACAAAATGTTGAATGACAAATGAACATAAAATGCTACTTATGAAAAAAAAAACCAAATAAACTAAAAAACCTTCACACGTAATTTACGGGTCATTTTGCACTTCGCTTTCCGCACAATCTACGCAAAATTTTTTAGAACACTCTAAACAAATAGGTCTTTTGCAGGAAAAACACAGATATGCAGTTTTCCTCTTCTTTTTTGGTGGACATATGGAGCAAGTTTTTCGATTTTCTCGTGTTTGTTTGTCGGATGAACCAGCATTAGTTTCATCATATGGCGCATTTTTCCTAGGATACGACCGATTGATATTCGAAGTTCACGTGGTAGTCTTATATTATAAAACCGTTCTCTTATATATGGTTCAATCAACTGTTTAGCAACAATCTTCATGAATTCCATCCTAGTAAGAATGTCTCTATCACGTTGTGATTGATGTATAATAAATGAATTTGTTGTATCTACTCATGTCAAAAATTCGGAAAAAGATTGCCATTGTCCAACGACGGGTTCGGCGACTTGAAGAATAAACACTACATTTTTGATCCATTGAATCAACGCCACCTTTAGTGTTGGTATAAAATACATTTATTTCATCTTTCTTAGTAAACGGATCTGTTTCTATCGCATGATGAGCGGAAGAAAGAAATACAACTGCCTTCTTTTTCTTCGGCACGTGTGAAAGAATTGTATAATCTTTAGTAAATCCATAAAGTGAAGAACTCACGTTTCTATTACGTGAGGGTAAAAATTCATTAGGAACTTCCCTTGTATTTTTTTTATTGTTCCCACAAGAGTGAGACCGTTAGTTCTAAGAGTTTACGCTAATTCCATTGATGTATACGAATTATCTGTAGTAACGTTACGGTTACTGCCAAATATTGGTTTGTACAATCTAATAACAGCTTAGGTAGGTATACCAATTTTTTTTTTCTTCTTCAGAGAGTCCAATACTATCACTACCCTTACCACAATATAGATATGTGTTATAAATGTAACACGTTTTGGCGTCGGCAAGACATTGCAATTTTAATCCATATTTAGCCGGTTTTGATGGCATATACATTTTGAAGCGGCAATTGCCACGAAATGCTATTAACATTTCATGAACAGTTGTATTAGACCTTAAAGAAAATGAGGTTTGTAAGCTTTGATTAAATTTTTAAATTAATTCCGTTATTCCATCACCTGGGTCAGTTTTTTTTCCGTTCTTGTCGATCAACTGGATCATCGAATCTCAAACAGTTGATAAGAGCGGAAAATGGTTTTGGAACCACGAAATACAACAATGGATGCAAAATAGAAGACACTGGATTGATTTGGGGGAGGCCTATGTCCAAAGTTGGATTACTTAAGGCTGGAGAAAAAAAAGAAGAAGAACTATTGTGTGAATATCCCAAAATGCTCCCACTCACCAAGTGAAAACCAGAATGTTCTTCCTCGAAGCTCTACTAACAGTGAAATCTTCAGTCTGCCATCTTGTCGTGATTGCTGAATGAGAAGTATTTCTATCATCATTAGGATTTCTAACATAATTTGCAGATTGCTACAAATGATGATAGAGTATATCAAGAGATAATATCATACCAGATAAAAAGACTTACTTGATTTCCATTTGTACGGGCTTAAATTTTTTGGTTTTAGTGCAAAATATGTGCGCACCAGATGGATAAATCGACAATTTCGGTGCGATTAATGGAAATGTATTGGAAAGTATTTTTTTAATCTGTAATTGTGGTGATGATGTAAATTTCATTCTTTTAATTCAAAAATTCTATTTTAGTTTGGCGTTAGCGACGGATACCTCAGTAACGATAGGAACAATTGATGAAATTCAGAAGTTGCACATAAGAACAGTACCGCTACAAGAATCTGCTAGAAGAATTGCGTACCAAGAACAAACGCAGGTAACTATACTTAAAGATATAAACGTTTAAGAAAAACACTTTTTAACATCTGTTTTATTAGTGATGATTATCCTTGTCGTTTATAAATGAAGAATTTTCAAGAATAGACCGAATGGAACAGAACTACTTAGAATGCGATCCTCTAACATTATCAAGAAATAATACGAGGAATATATCAATACCATACATAAAAGGATTGTCGGAAAACTTAAAAGGATAGAAAATAAATTCAACATTTCAACAACATTCAAAATAACAACCACATTGAGATATATTTTATCTAAAACTGAACCTAGCAATGAACAAGACAGGATGGAGAATTGTATTTATAAAATACCTTGTGAATGCCAACATTTTTATTTAGGTGAAACATCAAGATCATTCAATGTTAGAATAAGTGAACTTCAATCTTATACCAAAAATAGAAAATCCGATCTCAAATATGTAAACACGCATGGGAAAATCATTATAGAATTCAATAGAAAGATTTAGGTATAGTTCTGAAAGAAACAGATGGTATAAAAGAAAATACCACTATTAGTAAGTCAATAACATATCGAGGATCACATGCTATGTGTAATACACTACATAGTAATACATTATTTCTTTATGCTACATGTCCCGTTTGCATTCTCTTGTCACACACATATTATTAAATAATAATTGTTTTCTTGTATTTTTAGACTTTTGGTGTTGTGACAGCCCGCATCGATATCCAAGATTCAACTGGCTTGAATCCGGCACGACAAAGTGCGTCGACGATGGCCCAGTCAGTCACAATTTCCAGCAGTGTGGGATCTCTAGGAATCAGTAAATCTGGTAGCAGTAGTTTATTGTCGAGTCAGGCACCCGACTATGGACAAGAAGTCGAAGTACATAATTTACTTATTATAGACCAAAATACGTTTGAAATATTACACGCCCATCAACTAATGCAACAGGAGTATGCCATGTCGTTGGTCTCGTGTACTTTAGGAAATGATCCGAATCCATACTTTATTGTGGGTAAGTTTTTTTTCGTCTTTTATGAGGGGGGTGGTTCAAATGTTCGAAACATACCTCGGTTCCGGAAGGTGGGCAGAACGGCCTTCCAGCCTCAGTTATGCAGGATTCCTCCAGAGTGGCCATTATGAGGGGTTGTTCGGACACCATCGCCATCAATGCCTGGTAAAAAAACACCCTCCTCAGCGGTGAATTACCGGCCGAATCGCCCTGATTGGGACGCAACATCGGCACGGCATTCACCAGATCTCTCATTCACTCACAGTTCTCACGCGTTCTAGCACTTTCTCACTACCACTGAATTCTTCTCTCCCTGTATTCCTCCCTGTCCATGTTCAATCTCGCCCCTTCTCGTTCTGCCTTATCTTCTTGCTTACTCCTGAGCACCCTGCTTCCCTTCAGGACCTTCCTTCTTGTTTCTTTCTCTCCAACGTTCTCCTCACATATTCCTGAACTGCTCTCCACTGATCTGACGACCTAAGCATATCCTCCACCAGTTCCGTGACTGATTACACCCTACTTTCTAGCTCTCTCTCAAGCAGGTCCCTCTTTTGGGTAAGTATACAGGGTGTTTCAAAAAGGTATGTCGTAAATTAAATCACGTGTTCCGGAGACAAAAATAAATTGATTGAATTCAACTTACCTTAGTACAAAAGTGTACACAAAAAAAAGTTACAGCCCTTTGAAGTTACAAAATAAAAATTATTTCAATTTTTATTTCAAATTCAAATCATTTATCAAAAAAAACTTCAAAGGGCTGTAACTTTTTTTGTGTACACTTTTGTACTAAGGCAAGTTGGATTCAATCAGTTTATTAATTTTTTATAAATAATTTAATTTGTCCCCGGAATGCGTGATTTAATTTATGGCATACCTTTTTGAAACATCCTGTATATTTTAAAATATTTATGAATGGTTTATTAAATATTGATATGAACTGTCTCATTTGTAGATTACCTCCTGAAAGAAGAATTGATTTTGAGGCAATCAGACAATCGAATAAGTCAAATTTCATATCCAAATCAATGAAAAATTATTCATTCATCAGTTGGCGCTACAGCCCTTCGTGAGCCTTGGCCTGCTTGAAAACATTCTTTCATCCTTCCCTATCGAGTGTCCGTCTTCTCCAGCCCCTCACTTCAATCTCCCTCAGATCTTCCTGTACATCGTCCAGATATCTGAGTTTAGGTCGCCCCCTTCTTCTTCTTCCGACCAGCCTGTTTAGCATGGTTATTTTAGTAGGATCACTCTCATCCATCCGCATAACGTGGCTCACCCACCTTAGGCGGTTTATTTTGATGGTCTTCACAATATCTGCATCACCAAAAAGTCTACTGTTCGTTTACTCCGCCATATATGGTCCTCAATACTTTTCTTTCAAAGACTCGTAGTAACTCTTGTTTTCGATCCGTATGTGAGCACTGGGCGTATTATTGCTTTATAAAGTTTGCACTTTGTTGCTATTGACATATTTCTCGCTTTTAGTTGAGGGCCCAGGCCAAAATAACAGCGGTTAGTCACGCATGTTCTTTTTTTATCTCGTTGGATGTGTTATTTTTGTAGTCTACCAGTGATCCTAAGTAGCAGAATTCTTCTACCATTTCTATCGTTTCGTTTTGCACCTCTAAGTTATTTTGATGAATTCTTGATATGGCCGGCATATATTTAGTTTTCTGGATGTTAATCAGAAGTCCGATATTTTCTGCGGCATTTTTGATACGTGTGAAAGCCTTCACTGCTTCATTTTGGGTTCTTCCAATTATGACGATATCATCAGCGTATGCCATTATTTGTATACTACGGGTATATATCGTACCTTTTAAGTTTATTCATCTCACATAACTTTTTCTAACGCTAGGTTGAACAACGTGCACGATAGCGCATCTCCATGGCGCAGTCCTCTGTTGGTTTTAAATGGTTTTGAAACATTCCCTTGTACGCGCACTTTACATTCGATTTACATCATTGTCATTTTAATTAATTCTACCAAACCTTTTGGTATTCCTAATTCGATCATCGCCGAATATAATTGGGACCTGTCAATAGTATCGTACGCTGCCTTAAAGTCTACGAAGATGTAATGGCAGTCTATGTCGTACTCCGTTGTTTTTTCTAATATTTGATGGATAATATGTGATCAATGGTAGATTTGTTTTTCAAGAAGCCTCTTTGGTAGGATCCTATTATATTATCAGTATACCGTGCCAGTCGTTCGTTAAGTATCAGGGACACAATTTTGTATGCTGTATTAAGAAGGGAAATCCCTCTAAAGTTGGAACATTCAAGAACGTTTCCTTTTTTGTGTATGGGGCATATAATTCCAGTATTCCAATCTTCTGATAACGTGCGTTCTTGCCATACCTGTATTAGTAGTTTGTGAAGGAGGGTTACAAATGTTTGACCGCCACATTTAAATATTTCTGCGGGTAGGTTGTCTGCTCAGGGTGACTTGTTTCTGGCTAGAGACTGAATTGCTTTGTTTATTTCTTCCAAAGTTGGTAGTTCAGTATCCTCCTGTTCTATTTCTATATCATATCTACCTTCAGCTCTACTTTCTCCATTAAGGAGCGTACTAAAATGTTCCTGCCATCTTTCTAGTACTTCCACTCTCTCGTTTAAAAGAATTCCGTTAAGGGCCTTGACTTGGTTCGCTTGTGGCTTGAAAACTTTTCTTTTTGTGTTAATCTGTTTGTAAAATTTTCTGTATTCGTGTTCTCTATTAAGGTTTTCCATTTCTTAGAACTCTTTATTGATTTGTTGCCGCTTTTTCTGTTTGTGTTTTCGTTTTCCTGTCGTCTCTTTACTCGATATTCTTCAACATTGCTCTTAGTCCTTCTGTTGATCATTTTCAGATACGCGTCGTTCTTCTCTTTCGTTACTCGTTGGCATTCCTCATCAAACCAGTTGTTTCGCTGTCCTTTGGGTACTTCACCCAGCACTTCCTCTGCGGTCTCTTTGAGCGTGGTTTTCATAAACTCCCAATTTGTGTTAAGTTCAGTGGGATATACCTCACTTCTGGGATGTTCTGATATTTTACGATCTAAGCATATTTGGGATCTACGACTTCAGTAGACATTAATTTATCAACATTATATTTGATTATTTTTGGTTTAGTTTTAACGTTCCTGGCGTTTGAAAAATTATAGTAAATGTGTATCTCTTATTTAAAATCCATCTTAGAGGGATCTGTTAAGATGTGTTTTCCCAAGTTGTAATATCATTTATGTTTGTCACATTTTACGTTATGCGATATGTTAATGTTAATTCTAAGCTTCTTTTTGAACAGTGTTCTTTTCATAAAAAGATAATTTTTAATTCCGGTATTGTACTGTTCCTTTTGTAGAAGGTCGTTTGCCAGCTATTTTTCAAATTTTCTTCGAGTAGGCTCTTTTGCTGCTTATTTTTCTTTCTGAATTTGGTTTTTTTATTCTAATAATGCTGCGTTGTGAGATCAATCCTGGCTACAGTGTGAAAAATGCATATCTTATTCAGTTCTTTCACTAGTTTTTAAATGAAACGCAAATTTATTGAATCAGTGGTTAGCAAAAATATTAGTGGGGAGTGATGAATCACATCCGAACAAATAAGAATATTTAGAAAAGTCTTTTTAGATAATTTTGTTGGATTTTTTTTTATTTGCAATTAACATGTCTCGACGACTTGGGGTCTTTGACACGAACACAGTTTACAACAATTGTTACATGCAAATAAAGATACAAATAAAGTATATAAATATTCAGTTTACAAAAAATAAACAATCAGATCACTGGTTTAATTTAATTTGATTAAAGCATATTTCCTTTTAAAAACTTTAAAAGAAATAGAGGGTAAATTAGAAATTTAAGATATACAGATTATTTTTTATCCCTGTAGAAAGGTTTTCCAAGGCTTTCTTGAATAACAGTTCCGAATAGCCATGGGGAACTTCCTTTAATAGTCTTGGAAAACCTCTCTGTAGGAATAAAAATTAATGGAGAACAAATTTCTGATGTAAGATATTCCGATGACACTGTCATAATAACTGACAGACACGAATTTTCAGGTCTTCGACTAAAATAGGTACATCTAAATAAATTGGCTGCCTGTGAATTTTGATGTTAGAGAAGGTGGAACTTAAAGAATAATCACAACAAAGATATTCTTGATAGGTCGATTTAAAACAAGTCACTTTTTGAGCATTATTCTTGACTTATAAAAATAAATTGACCTAACGTATCTGTAACATGAATAAGTTTTTGCCTCGATTTAATGGCATTGTTTAGAGCTAAGTCGTCCTGTAAAAGAAACACATTCCCTAAAACGTAGCAGAAATGTATAAATTTGCTACGAGTTATTCCGCATATTTCCACAGATCAGAAAAAATCTTTAAAAGGTCTCACGTTCCTGTGTACTAAGACTGTTGGCCCCGAAATTATTATATACGGTGTAGGTAAAAGTTTATGGTCGGTATAGTAGAATTTAACAGGATATCTAACACAGATAAAGAATCATATTTTCAGCGAATAGACAAAGATAACGATCATATTTTCCCTTGGTCTTCCCTCCACATTTCTCATACACGCCCATTATCGAACGCCAGACGATTATTTCCGATCCAACTTATACCTAAGAAACAGCGGCAAGGCTTGCCTTATTACATATTTGAATTAAAACATTGAATTGATTCAAAAAATTGGCGATTAGTGGCGCGGTTATATTGCCATTCATAACTGGCTGATGATATTAAAAATGAAACACTAATTGACACAAATACTAGCACAAAATTTCTTAAATCCATGAGAAATTTACAGATTCGCATTTTTATTGGACGAAATTGTAACCTAATTTCCAATAAAACAAGATAATTTTGGCAACATCGCCATTTGTCCGTCCCCTTTAATGGTGAGACAGGCTAAACGCTATGCTATATATTTTAGAGGTGGATCGTTGACGTTTTTATCGTTAACGAAACTGAACCGTTTTTCGTAAACAAGTAAATAGTTGAAAAACTACTTAAATTACTCAACTAGTTGAGTTTTTCAACAGTAACAAGTGTATATGTATTGAAGTGAAATAAACCATGTAAACCAAAATAAATTAAACAATACAAATAGTAAATAGTATTTTTTTTCCACTTAACTTGTTGTTAACCGTGTTCTTCTTTGATTTAAAATTAAACGAGATTTTCAATATGTGCTCACAAGGAACAGATGTTGCTACAATATTACAATAATTTATGATTATAGTGGTGAAGTTAGGATATACATGGCGATATCATCAGAAAAATACACATCGACTTCTTTTATAGTCGTAGTAGTAGAATAACAGCTTTAACTAGCTGACTGTTGAATATATGTCGCTCGCATTTGGGTTTACTACGGCATCTATTATGCACTATCAAATTGCAATCGGTATCGGAAAATAAAGATTGTCCTGTTGTAAATGCATTTTTCTGTTAATTTCAGGTACTGCTAATGTCAATCCCGAAGAAGCGGAACCAAAACAAGGCCGTCTTCTCGTTTTCCACTGGAACGACAACAAACTCACGCACGTCTCAGAAAAAGAAATAAAGGGTGCATGCTACTCTTTATCAGAATTCAACGGGAAACTACTAGCTAGCATTAACAGCACCGTTCGGCTTTTCGAATGGACAGCGGAGAAAGAATTAAGACTGGAATGTTCACAATTTAACAATATCATTTCACTGTTTTTAAAAACGAAAGGGGACTTCATATTGATCGGAGATTTGATGAGGAGCATGACACTTTTACAATACAAAACAATGGAAGGTAAGTTGGCAGCTTATGTGGAAAAATCAGTCTTAATACTCACTAATTACAACTTTGTGTAATTTTCCTGTGTAATAAAAGACATACCGACAAAAAGAACAAGAGTCGGAATTTAATTTAGTATGACTATTATATTACTATCGATTACCATTAGATTAATTCCACTGCATTCCATTAATGCAGTTGCATTAATGGAATGGACACCTAAGTCCTGACCTAAACCCATTTAGTATTTAGGGCTTAGGGAATTATCTTAAAGAACCGCCCGAGGCCGCCCGCACCCACCTACCAACTATAATTGAGAGTTTGAATCAGAAAATGAAGAATGGGGGAGTATCCTTACAAGGTTTTTTTGTTGGTCTTTAAGCTATTTAATTTAGGTTTATGTGACTGGTGCAGAGGGTATATTTATTACCAAATTTTCCACATTTAAGAGAGGTGTAGTTGAACACCCAATTGCTTCAAAATATATATTAAATACCACTGAAACAATAAAACACTTGACGTATTTTTTCTTCGATCTATTTATAGTGAACTTATAGGGATGATTCAACATTGATAATTATCGCAATTCTAATTGTAATAAAAAGAGTTATACAAATATCATTAGCTTTACAGTGCTAGGAGGCAGTAACAAAGATACATAGTATTGAGAGTTGAGAGAAACAAAACTGTTTACGGTTTAATATAAAAAAACCGGTTGTAATGCTAGCGTATGTGTGACTTACAATTTACGCACTTTTTGGGATCGACGACACACCCCGTCTTGACTTGCCGAGGGGCAAATTCGCACTGTCCTAAGTTATCTAGGTCAGGGTGAAGAGAGATTCTGAGGGAGAGGGTCGCAAACACATTAACACCAGAGGTGACGATCTGAGCGCACAAGTTGATAAAATCTTCTTCTTCTTCAGCCTTCATTTATCCAATGTTGGACATAGGCCTCCTCCAATTGCTTCCATGCTTCCCTATCTTTTGCAATTCTCATCCACTGCTTTCCAGCTACAGCAGTTATATCGTCTATCCATCTCTTTTTAGGTCTTCCCACGCTTGTTTTTGTTTCTCGAGGTCTCCAGAATGTCACTTTATGAGGCCATCTGTTGGTGTCTTGTCTTGCTACATGTGCTACCCATTGCCATTTCAATGTCGCTATTTTTCCCATGATGTCGGTTACTTTAGTTCTTCGACGTATTTCGGTGTTAGGAATTTTGTCTCTGAGGCTTATATTTAACATGGCCCTCTCCATGGCCCGTTGAGTTACTCTTAATTGTTCTGCCATTTTTCTTGTTATTGCCATAGTTTCCAATCCAGAAGTTGCAACTGGTAGTATACAAGTGTCATAGGTTTTTCGTTTTAAGTGAATTGGGATTTTTCTGTCATTTAAAATGAAGCTCAACTTACCAAAAGCAGCCCATGATAATTGTGTCCTTCTTTTAATTTCTAGGGTTTGATTTTCCTTTTCGTTTTTAATTGCATGTCCTAGATAATTGTTCTACCTTTTCTATATTGATGTTATCTATCGTGATGTTTTCTAGGCTGTTGCTTAATATCTTTGTTTTGTCGAGATTCATTTTTAATCCTATTTGATTCGATTTGTGATTTAAATGTTGTAGCATTGATTTTAGTTCATGGATATCTGTGCTTATTAGTACTATGTCGTCTGCAAAACGCAAATGGTTAAGATATTCTCCATCTATTTTTAATCCATTTTCGGCCCAATTTAGTTGTTTGAAAACATTTTCTAATACCAAAGTAAATAACTTGGGTGAGATGGTGTCGCCCTGTCTCACACCTTTGCCAAGGTCTATTTTCATAGTTTCCAGATCATCATCTATTTTTACGTGAAAAGTAGCATCATCGTATATATTCTTAAGGAGGGTAGCATATCTTGAATCTACTCTGGCGTCGCCCAATGCTGTTAGGAAAGCCCATTTCTCGATACTGTCGAATGCTTTGTGATAATCGACAAATGCCAGATGTAGTGATATATTGTACTCTATTGTTTTTTCAATAATGGTCCGAATTGTTTGCAAGTAATCGATAGTGCTAAAACCCTTACGAAAGCCTGCCTGCTCCACTGGTTGGTATGCATCTAGTTTAGCTGTCAATCTATTTGTTATTATTCGGGTTAGTAGTTTGTAAAGGTGTGACAATAAGTGTGTGTTTGGTCGGTAGTTTTCTATATTTGCGGCGTCCCCTTTTTTATGGAGTAGAATGACTTCCGCATTTTTCCATGTCTTCGGTATTTGTCCTTCCAATAGGCATTTATTAAGTAATGCTCTTATTGCCTCTTCTAATGCAGTGCCTCCCATTTTTCATTTGTTTTAGGGCGATAAAATAACTAAATACAATTACAATATTATAAACAGGTTGTTTTTACAACAGTGACTGTTTATATTTTTAATGCAACATTATTTTATAGGTAGTTTCGAAGAAATAGCAAGAGATTACAACCCCAACTGGATGACCGCTGTCGAAATACTCGACGATGATACATTTTTGGGTGCCGAAAACAGTTTTAACATGTTTGTATGTCAAAAGGATAGTGCGGCGACGACTGACGAAGAACGGTCCCAAATGCAAGAAGTGGGACAATTCCATGTCGGTGACATGATCAATGTTTTCAGGCACGGTTCTTTGGTTATGCAGAATATTGCCGAATCATCGACGCCCACAAGAGGATGTGTTCTATTTGGTACTGTGGGAGGAGCAATAGGTAAACATATTTACTAGAGTTCTAATGGTTGCTATGAATTATTCAAGCCTATAAAAACTCATAATAAATGTTATCGTCACTTGTTTGAAGCCAGAACTTATGTGGTTATGAAGAAAAGACTATTTTTAAAATAATATTTTATGATTTATTGTGTAAGCGGTTATAGACCTACTTCTTTATCGAAATGATATATTTTTTCACTAAATTTATTCGATAAACTTTCAGAAAATCATTTTTCTTAGTTGTCTCAATGATAAGCACTATACAGTTAACCTGTGACAATCAGTCACTAAGAAACAGGCGTGGCTATTTTATTTTCACTACTTTGAGCAGTATTGCTTTGCTATTGGGTTCTGCCAGATCATCTAACGGTCGACTTTTTATGTTCAATATTTCGATATATAATATTTATTTATTTTTAAGGTTTGGTAACTCAAATACCCCAAGATTTCTACGAATTCTTGCAAGAACTTCAAGACAAACTTTCCTCGACGATAAAATCCGTCGGCAAGATCGATCATTCGTTCTGGAGAGCTTTTCACACGGATATAAAGACGGAAAATAGCGAAGGTTTCATAGATGGTGATTTAATAGAGAGCTTTTTAGATTTACAGCAGGATAAGATGAAAGAAGTAGCGGATGGAGTTTCGGTAAGTGAATTAATAATATATTTTCACCTGATCTTCGATGATACTGTTAATTTACTATAAATAGATACCATATTTAGCGCTACAGACCATAGTTACGTTTTTGTATATTATAGAATGTGCGGTTTACCTTTTATTTTGTTTTCTCACAGTCTCTGAACTACTGAGGGGATGTAGGTTTGATAAATATGACTAATTTTTTTGATAGATTCCTAAATTCCTCTTTTAAGGCTTAAGTGAATGTCTGGCTTATGTAAGCCATGAAGTATAAAGAAAAACCCAAAATTTCAAGGAAAAAAATCAACTGTGTTAAATTCTGATCATGACTGATGATAGACAGTCAATTATGATCAACAAAACGGGAAATAGCATCCAGAAAATTAATTGTTTCTGCAGCGGTATTACATTTTGTTATAACTACATGTTTTTCACGTCTATAACTTTCACTTTAGGTACAAAAGACTGAGTTATGTCATTAATATGAATAATGTATCATTGAACAGTTAATATGTACAATTAACCGTTCAATTATACTTCAAATCCAAAATCTGTATCAGCTAGTGGCATTGTGTCGATACATTTGTTTCACAATCATCATCATCATTGGCTTTTACAACTCTTCGTGAGTTTTTGCCGCGTTTACTATTGCCTTCCATTGATTCCGATCCTGTGCTATTATTTCCCATGGCCTTACTTCCATCTTCTCCAGGTCTTCCCTGACTGCGTCTTTCCACCTTTTTCTAGGCCTTCCTGTCGGTCTTTTACCATCTGGTCTTTCCCAAAACACATTGCTAATCAGTCTGTCGTCATCACTCCGTACCACGTGGCCTGCCCATCTTAATCTATTGGCTTTTATGTATCTTACGATGTTTCCTTTCCCGAAGAGAGTCTCTATTTCATTGTTGTATCTGCTCCTCCATTCATTTGTCACGCTGTCCCTGCAAGGACCATATATAATTCGCAGGATTTTGCGTTCCCATACTAATAGCTTATTGATTTCTTTCTTTCTCAATGTCCATGTTTCACTTCCATATGTCACTGCTGGTCGTATTATGGTTTTGTACATTTGGATTTTGGCACGCCTTGAGAGAAGCTTTGACCTCATTAGATGTTGAATGGCAAAGAATGATTTATTCCCCGCCAGTATTCGTATTTCAACCTTCCGTTCTCCTGTGTTTTCACTGGTAATTGTTGCTCCTAGGTATTTGAATTCTTTGACCACCTCAAAATTATGATCGTTTATGGTAATGTTTTGTCTTATTCGCTGTCGTTCCTTTTTTGATACGACCATGTATTTAATTTTTTCTTCGTTTATTTTCAGGCCTACGCTTAGTGTTGCTTCTTCAAAGTTCGATACTATATCCTTAACTTCCAATGTTGTCTGTGCTACTGCATCTACATCATCTGCAAATGCGAGAATAATCTTTGCTCCTCTGGCAGTTATGTCTGGTTTGACTCTGGTATAGATTTTTCGCATTGCGTATTCCAATGCTAGGTTAAATAGTAATGGGGACAGCGGGTCTCCCTATCTGAGCCCGGTGCTTATGCCGAAAGCCTTTGAAGTTTTGCCTCCTATTCTAATTGGTGCAAAGGAATTGTTGACATACATTCGCGCAATCATGGTCAGCTTCTTTGATACGCCTAACTCCATCATTGCACTCCACAGTTTTAAGCGATCTATGGAATCATATGCTTGTTTGAAATCTATGAAGATCTGGTGTACTTCTTTATTATATTCCCAATACTTTTCTAGCATTTGTCTGATAGTAAATATTTGGTCGATTGTTGATCGTCCAGGCCTAAAGCATGTTTTTCTATTTACTGTTTTTTTACAGTAGTGATTGTTTTTCAATCACTACTGTAAATTTACGTACCACAACTGACATTCAATGCTGAGAGATGACATTATTCACTAAACCAAACAATTAAGAATCAGTTCTTGAATTGAACTTTATAAACCTGAATACGTCAGAATACCCTGCAGAGAACTTCTGAATGTGTCTCATTCTTCATCAGGATGCAAATTGAAGATCTTGGACTCGCAACAGTTTTTGTATCATTTAGATAACTGTATTTGGAGCGAGGATTGGGGCATTTGAAAAGGATCTGTAATGTCTGGCCGAAATTTTGTTCTTATGGATGATAACACTCGACATCATCAGGCAGCAATTGGGAATTTACCTGTAGAAGAGAATAGTATTACCGGTATGTGAGTGATTGCTTCGCCAGATTGTAAACTTGATCAAAAAGCCTGGGATCGTCTCCAACAATAGCTTAATCTTCTAGATCCCCACCCAGGTATACTGGAAGAGCTTTCTGAGATGTTAAGAGAAGAGTGACAAGTCATACCATACAATTACTGGTTCTGAGTATGTCTAGAATAGTACAGGATGCCCAATTAGGTACACTGAAGGGCTTTTTCAGATGTTAAGAGAAGCATGGCAAGCCTTACGATATAGTCGTAAAAGCATGATTTATCAGCTTTTGTTTTAATTCAGTAACAGCACTGTACTATTATACCATTTCGACCTCGTTTTGGTCTTCTCTACAGGTAAGGAATAGTTGAATACGAACTGCAGCAGCATGCCAACAAACGTCTCCACATCAGTGGTAAGCGTACGAAGCTCCCATTCTTCTTTGATGACTATGAACGAGAACAATTTATTAAATATAGCTTTCTGTCCTTTGCGCTACGAAATATGAAGATATTTACATTAATTTAATATTTACATTAATTTAATTTGTTCAATTGTCTTTTTTCAGATGACTGTGGAGAATTTGGTAAAAATGGTTGAAGATTTATGTAGGTTACACTAGATAGATGAAGAAGATTCTATTATGTTTTCAGAGTGTACTTTTTCTGTAATATAATATTCAGGTGTTTTTATAGTCCACCTTACAATTACGTTTGAAATAAAGTTTCTTAAAAAAACATTTGTTTTATTAACTAAAAATTAATATAAAACATTAAACTGTTGGTGTGTTGGTTTATTTTAGAAAATCTCGGTATCTCCACTAGCAGCTATATTCAGAGTAGACCAGAAGTATGATTTTCAACCTAATTATCTATTAAGTAAAGTTTATTGTAATCAAATATTTAATTACAATCAAATAGGTCACAGCAGATGTCAAAATTATTAAAAATTGCTTATTATTATTATTGATTTTTAAATAAAAACATGAAATAGCATCAGAAATAGTTTAATTGTGGTTTATTTTAAATTAAAACGCAAAATAATAAAATTGAATAAAATAAATCAGTCAATATAACCTCAAAATGTGACGTATTTGATTACAATCAAGGTTTGATTAGCAAAGGTAATAATATTTAATCATCTCTTAAATGGATGGTCCGAATTATACAAAAAACAGGGCAATATTGCAATATGTAGATTTGAAATTTGCAACGCTGCCAGATTTACCGTTTTTCTGATAGCATGAGTCACTTTGGTGTTTTAAATATAACACCCTGTGTATTATACCTGTATCGAAACCTTCACTTCAATACCAGTTTAACCGTATACAATGCTTTCGATTTTATGTAGTCAGGAACATTTTAAAAAATAAAAGCCTAGAAACGCCTAATCATCTCCATAATTTTTTGTATTCAATCTATGGTCTTAAACTGTTCACTTGACAGTATCTTTAACGATGGTAGAATGCTGTATTACATTTCTTTATGTTTCTCTATAAATTAATATGGATTGTTTCAAGTATCCCCAATAAAAATAATCTTTGGGTTCAAAATCGGGTGAACTAAGAAGCCATTCAATACTACCTGGTCTTACCTAAATACTAACCAATCCATCGGCGGGAAATATGTGATCTACATATAACGCCAAACATTTACACCAAAATGAGCTTGGGCTCTGTCTTGGCCATATCTCATTAAAATTAGCTCCAAACTTGTTTTTCACGGAAGGTAAATTTTAATTCTAAGTAACATTTCATAATTATCGCTTGTATAATTTCGCTCTATGAAAAACGGTCCAATTAACTGAGTTCCCACTATACTTGACCGTACATTTAGTTTTTATACCTTAAATTTTGGGATTTATATTCCCACTCAGTATAAATATTGCTTCGTCAAAGAAATATATCTTATAACAAAGTTCTCAATTTTATTCTTCATTATCTCTCTAAGCTGTTATCTACGGTCGTAGTTAGCTTTATTTAATTATTGCAACAACTGGATTTTGCAGGGTTTAAATTAACTAAACTAACTTTTGGTGTAATTGTTCAAATGCCATCTTTTATTCGTCCAGTTTGCTCAAAACGCTTTACAATTGAAGACCTTGGACAAGCCCCAATTTCGCCAAACATGAGTAGAAATCGCACACTTTAAAACTATATTAATGTCGCAAATTGTAATATAAGTTGCAACTGCAACTTATATTACAGGGAAAGGTCTACGGAAAGAGGGGACCAGGAAGAAGAATATCTTGGTTCCAGAACTTACGAAAATGGTTTTTATTGACCACTTTAGGACTATTTCGAGCTGCGGTCAATAAAGTTAGAATTGCCATGCTAATTGCCAACATCCGTAACGGATAGGCACCACAAGAAGAAGAATGTTCCAAACAGAAAATTTCAGCTATTTCCTCATAGATGGCGCCGCTGTAGTAAGTCTCATTGTGTCACCATTACGTTATATTGCAACAAAAAAAGGTAAGTCACAGTAGTAATCAAAATGGCGGCGGAACATTCTTGTGCACGTAAACGGAAAAAAGACTTTTTTGAGTTTGATTCTGAACACAGTGACCAAGATCCGTTTTTAAATGAAAGCGAAGGTAACAAAGACTACACAGTGTCCGGAAGTAGCGGCGATTCGGAAAATATAAACATAGGAACGGTAAGTTTCTAAGCTATTTTATTGCAAGAAAATGGAGAGGTTTATACCCCACAGACTTCTCGTACTTATCATTTCTACGTATATGCCCCAAATATGCTGTCTTTCGCCTTTTAATGGTGGTCAAAAATTCTCTGTCTCTTCCCATTCTGTGCAACACCATTTCGTTCGTAATATGATCGGTCCATGGTATCTTCAAAATTCTCCTAAAAATCCACATCTCAAAAGCTTCCAGTTTTCTCATTAAATCAACCTTAACAGTCCAGGCCTGGACACAATAAAGAAGAATAGAGTGGATATAACATTTTACCATCCGATATCGGATTTGCAGGTTGAGTTTTTGGTTAGACTGTAACACATTTTTGGGAATATAACTTAAACTCGACGATGCGCAATGAATCGTGTTTACTAGTGTTACCATGGAAACGAAGAGTGTGCTGCTGGCCAGTGTCGTAGTTTGAGAAGTACGTATCGCAGAGAGAGTGTTTGACTTGTTGGATATTTAATTAATTTTTTTATTAGTGCTTAGTATATTGGTAGTAATAATTAGTGTATTGTTAAGTCATTTAGTGTGTTTAGTTCAGTGATTAATAATAGTTACTTAGCAATGTACTAAAAAAAGATAGGAACAAAATTAAAGCAAAAAATTTATTTAAAAATTCCTTTATAAAAGGTATAATATACCACTTCAGTATCTATAGGAAACTCACACAGACCGACAGATTACCCATTAATATTATACCTTTGATAAATAAATTTTTAAATACATTTTTTGTGATACATGACAACCAGCTACAGAAATTTAGTTTCTTTGTGAAAATTAAACCATTATATTTTTGAACAGATATTCTTCAAATCTCACGTTTGATTAAATCCCAAGTTTGATTTGATAAAATGACGTTTGTTAAACGTCATTTAATTTTTTATAACAAACTGCCAAATTTTTAAACGTCATTTTATTTTTACAACAAGTATATATGTATGTATATTAAAACCTAGAGCTAAGATTAATATTATTACTAAAATTAATATCAAACTCACCAGTCTTCCGGGTTGAACCGCGTCGATATACATTTTGCCGAGCTTACGGCATCCTCTCTGATGCCTTCCTCAGGGCTTCCGAGGTCTCAGTCTCCCGAGCCCCCAGACACTACTACACTGTTCACTGATCACTACGCTATCACTACTACGGCTGGGAACAGGAGACGGTTCATTTATACCGTCGATGATGGCGTGGGGTGGGGGTTGGCGCGAATATTTCCGACTGTGAAATTTTGATTCGAGGATGGAGGGGGCGATATTTTCTTTATGAGAGGTCTCCATGTAGAAGGTAACCATATGGCGTCATCTCTTTTATTAAGACAATTTGGCCTTTTTTCTATTTCTATGGCTTCTCGGATAATTCTTGGTTTATAGAAGCGGATGTGGGCTATGGTTCTGGAGTTTTCAAAATCAATTTGAACTGTATGAAGATGGTGTTGACCGAGAGCTAAAATTGAATCAGAATTGCGAACGAAATGGAATGTTCATAAATCCTATTTTGGATTCTACGATTTGTTTGGCCTATATAGGATCGGGGACAGTTTGCACAAGGTATTTCATAAACTCCGTGTTGTTGATTTGGAATATTGTCTTTGATAGATCGGACAAGAGATGAAAGTTTTTGTTGGGGAGTAAATATTGTTTTTATTCCTCTTGGTTTCAGAATTCTGTCGATTTTGTCAGTGACACCTTTGATATAAGGAAGAAAAGCTTTCGTATGATAAGGGTCTGAGTCTTTGGGTTGAGAACGAGTGGGAGATTGATGTCTGTGAATGCTCCTATTGATGTGATTTTCGCGGTAACCGTTTTGAATTAAGGCTTGTTTTAAACAAGAGAGCTCAGCGGGTCTACTTGCATCATCGTAAAGGCGTATTGATGTGGCGACAAGGGTATTAATGACTGAATTAATTTGTGAAGGTGGATGGTGAGAGTTGGCATGCAAGTAACGATTGGTATGTGTGGGTTTTCGATAAACAGAGTAATGGAAACCTTGGGATTGGTTTTTCTTGATGAAAACATCGAGAAACGGTAGGGATGAATCAGTTTCCATCTCCATCGTGAATTGGATACTGGGATGTACACCATTCAGATGAGTTTGAAAAGACACTAAAGCGTCCCTGCCATGGGGCCAAATGACGAATGTATCGTCAACATATCGTAGCCAACATGTGGGTTTGAGCATTGATGTGGATAGTGCTCGGGTCTCGAAGTCTTCCATAAAGATATTGGCAATTACTGGAAATAGAGGGGAGCCCATTGGGGCACCATTTATTTGTCTGTAGAATTTGTTTTGAAAGATGAAATAGGTGTTGGACATACAATGATAAATGAGAGATAAGTGATCTTGTTGAATATTGTATTTAGTTTTAAGAATGTTTAAAGTTTCATCTATTGGAATGTTTGTAAAGAGTGAGATGTATAATATACGTATGTATATTACTGTATACCGCAAGGTTACTGCGTCTCGACATTTCAAGTCACACTAAATATTATTTCGGTCCCGAGCAAATACATCAAACCGAGCAATAAGAAGTATTCACGTCAGAATGGTAGATCTGACAATATTGTAAGCATCAAATTTGAAATCTCCATATACCTGGACTTGCTAATTTCATAATCAATCCACCAAATTAGAATTCAGTATTTTTGTATCTCACTTGAAATAAAATTTGTCATAAAAATGAAATATCTTTTATTATCTAGAAATACAAAAAGTTTTATACTTAATCTAAAATCTGTGTGCGATTTATGTATTCGTACGCTGTTTTTATCAAAAACTGAAAGTTGGGGTTATCTTTTAGGCGCTGTAACTCTGGACCTTCCAAAAGTATGCTCATTGGCGGAAGTAGGATTTGAGGATTAACACCTAAAAAAAAATCTATTTTACAGCAATCTTCTTAAAAAATTTACTTTACAACTAAAATTACTTCTATTAGTTTGTAATTCCCTCTTAAATTAAGTTACAAGATAACATTAATAGTAACTATTTAAATTTTATCCATAAAAGTCAGTAACAAAATAATAGAGCTAAAGGGAAAGCTAAGTCTCGCTAACTGTTTATAACCAAAAGATCGAACAAGTTATTATGCCAACTGACATTCATAACTTACTCAACAGAATAAGGCTAATGTAACAATAATTGCGCCAAACTGGTCGTTTCCTAAAAATTCGTTTAACATCTCTCGTAAAACTGATAATAAATTCAAGTGATCCTGTGCCTGGGACCAATAAGCTATCATCTGAAATCGCCAAGTGTATACTTCTGTCGTTAAAATTTTATAAAAGGAAAAAATCTTATAAAAGAGCCTTCTTAGAAATATGTTCTTTTTATGTAGACATGACTCTGTCTGCTGTTTAGTGTACCTCCAGTAAATTGTCATTCCATCGTTTTCCTTCTTCTTAAGGTGTCTTTTCCATTACTGAAGGTTGGCTATAACTACAGCAAATTGCTGTCTATCTCGACCTGTTCTTAGTATCGAATGTGTGTCCATGTCTGTCCAGTCTCTTACATTCCTCAATCAGGAGCATTTTCTTCTTCCTGGACCTCTTCTTCCTTCCACTTTCCCTTCCATTATAAGTAGTAGGAAGTTGTATTTTTCTCTTCTGTAAATATGTCCTAGATAACTCGTTTTTGTTTTTTACAATATTTAGTAGTTCTCTCTCAGTATCAATTCTTCTTAGCATCTCGTTGTTGGTCACTTGCTCTGTCCAAGAGATCTTCAGCATCCTTCGAAAAACCCACATCTCAAAGGCTTATATACGCCTCATATTTGTAATTCCGAGAGTCCATGTTTCCACTCCGTATAGCAATATGCAACAACTAAACGTTTTTACAAATTGGTATCGAATATCCAATTATCGGATTTTCCTTGCTCTTCCTATTGATCGTCTTTACTACTCTACTTGTTGCCATTCGGCTTATAGGATAGTTCCATTTTACTCTTGTATTTCTTATCCAGTCCTTGATGTTCACCTTGCATATGTATATATGTACTTCTAGCTCTGCCCCATAGTGTCTTCCCATCAATTTTTCTAAGTAGAAATGTGTTCAAATTCTAAATCAATTGCAATACTTTTTTAAATACGAAAATTGATATTAGAAATTTAGCCAAATATATCATTTCTTGATTCCATATCATGAATAAATGTTTCCCTAATAATTATTTGATCTTCAAGCTAAGATTGTTTTGAATATTCAAATTAATCGTTTGAGAAGTCACCTGTCATTTGACCAGTTCTTTGGAAAGATCAGCGTTTTTGCTCGTCGTTTCAGAATAGAATACAAGCCTTTTTTAACTTTCTAAACATTCCATTGTATGAAGATTGAATCCTTTCTAAACATTCCAAGACTTAGAAGATTGTTAAGGATTCCATGGGTAGATAGAGTCACGAATGCAGAAGTGTTAAGGAGAATAAGCAGAGAGAAGGAAATGGAAAATAGAATAAAAGAAAGCAAATTGCAATATCTCGGACATGTAATGAGAGGCGAAAGATTCCACATCTTGAGAGTCATAATTCAAGGAAAAATAGAGGGTAGGAGAAGCGTAGGAAGAATACGCGTTTCCTGGTTGAAGAACCTGAGAGAGCGGTTTGGTTGCAGCTCAAGGCAATTGTTCAGAGCAGTTGCCTCGAAGGTCAGAATAGCCAACCTCAGTCGCGGAGATGGCACAATTTGTTATTCCCAATTCATACATACCAAGATTGAACTAGAAATAAATCACTTTACAGTTAAAGAATAGGTAAATTTATTTAGTAAGCCCAATGAGAACAACAATTTAAAAATCAATTAAAATGTTTAAAATGCTCGCCGTTCATTTCCTGAAAATGTGCAAGCCTTATAATAAATTCGTGACATACAACTCGTTACAAGACTTCAGCAATAATTCTTTGTCTTAAATCCTGCAAGCATGTTAGTCATCTAATGTAAACACGTGACTTTAAATTCCTCTAAAGAAAAAAATCCAACGGGTTAAGATCCGGAGAACGGGCAGGTCAACTCCATAAATCTTTTACCTTCAATCGATCGATTTGGAAAATTTGCATACCAAACTTTTTATGTATCAATTAGGAATCACACATCCTTTTAAAACCTGCAAAAATATACAGGGTGTCCTACTTAAATAAGTTGACGGTATTTCCGATGAAACCGGAAGTAGGTCTTTTCATATTTTATTATAATTTGATTATTATTCTAAAATCTGAATATCTTTAACATCTCGTCATATAGTGTACAACCACATCAATTTTGACATAGGCCAATTCTTTGGAAAATAACCACTCTTTTGATTTGGAACAACAATAAAGTATGTAAGTATAAAAAACTTTCAAGAAAACAAAACACTTACCCAAATCCAACAATAAATCTACAATCTTGTAAAATAGGGTTGTATTCAAAACTTCCATAGGAGAGTCCAAATTCCTGAAATTCCAAGAATCCCTTAAAATGGCACTTCTCCATATATTTAAATGCAACTCATCTCTAATCTCATCATCATCGACAAAATTCAATATATCCAAAGCTTTTTTGAACTCGAATTCACTAGCATCTGAATACTCTTTACAAATATGTAGAGTTATTAAATCTTTTGGAGGAATCACACTTGGTTTCATAGTATCATAACCGAATTGTTGTAGAACGTAATCTGGCAGTTCTTCTTGGTAATTAATTAGTCCTAGACGATTATTAACTTTCTCTACGTAGATATCCAAATCGCTCGTTGTAGGTCCGGCCAATTTTGCTAGTTTACTAAGACTTAGCATCGTTTTTTGTCTCGTTAGTGAGTCCTTTTCTGTATTAGCTAGATTAACTAAAAGTAATAACAAAACGTTGAAATAAAAAAAATTTTTACACATACTGAAAGCTATAACAAGCTATTTTAATAACGATTCATTGATACTATTAAGATATAACTAATTAAATCATGAATTGTACTAATAGAAGTTGGCGCGGTAAGTAGGATTTAAGTAAGACGCAATTATATTCATGGTAATGAAAAACGACCGCTTTGAAATGTTAAAATAACTATTTTATTACGCAATAAATTGAAAGTTCATTTAAAAACGATTGTTTTGATAATTTTGTTCCTTCTTTAAAAACTTTGCATTTTAAAATCAATTGGATTGCACTCTGTTTTATGATATACATCCAGGAGCATGAAAAAGGCCACTTTAAAATGTTAACGAATTTTGATCTTAAATATCTGTTTTACTTATGTGCCAATTGTGATAATTTTTTGGACAAGTGAGAGCAAAATTATCCCAGATTAATTCAAATTTCCAAACGGGGCCGAATTTATACAAATTATACAAGGAAAAATAAAGTTTTGTTTCTTATTCACAATAAAGAAAGACAGTAGAATAACAATAAAATTAAAAACTTACATAATGTATTAGCAGCCACAGGAAACTTATGGTCAAATATTTGTTGCATCCAAGATAACGAAGGATGATCTGACAAAAAGTGTGTTAGTGTCTGCAGATTTTTGCTTTTTCCGCTCTTCCTATATTTATCTAATAATTTTCCCTGCTTGTTTTCTTTCAGAAACCAATTGTAGACGTATTCTGAAAAACCATTATTACTGAATCTGTCCATGTATTCGTCCAATCGTGCTTGGTTGTCTGTGGCTTCACATATTATTACTAATGTTTCAAAATCTAAATATTTTTCTGCTAACAGCATGGCTTTTTCATATTCTTTTTCGCTTACTGAAATAAGAAATAAACAGTTTACTCTATAATTACATCAAATATCATTCAATCGAATTAGATAAGTCAAGATGGAGAGAAATTAGCCGTCAAAATTTTACCCATTTGTTTTCATTTTTAACGTGATACTTTTTCTAAGTATTTCACTGATGATGGTCCGATAGGAGTAAAAACTTTCTGAAACTTTATAAATCAATTTTGGTGATTTTTAAATTTTTTAATAAATTTATACCATTTTACACAAGAAATTTTTACTTTATAGTAAGTAATTTAATATACTTACGCAAAGGTTTGATAAGTTTGTGTCTGTCATTACAGTATTGCCTATATAGAACATTTTCTCTTGCCGTGTTTTGAATACTTTCCAAATGACTTTTTCTGCCGTCCAATATTACATCAGTCAAACCCACGAAATGGTCTAAAAGAGAGTGCCGCAACTGTCCGTGTGTAACCAACTTTAAGCCATAACTGTAGGTCAGGATATGCTAAAAAGACAAAACAAAATAATTGTGTCACTATTTAAATAAGTAAAGATCAAAGAGTTGATAGTGTTCAATATGAACACTAAAATGTAAATATAATTTTTAATACAACAGATAATTGTAAAAACATTGCTACCTAAACGAACTAAATCGATAAATATATCAAATAAAAATTAACAATGTAATGCAAGAATAGATAAAAATATGAAGAAAATTCCCAAAAATTTATAGGAAGGTTTTCACTACTAACAACATTCTAGTCTGATGGAGCAGATGAGATGGACCATGAAAACGGTTAGATATGGTAACTAGACACTTTCAAACGAAAAACCACCTCTACAGTATAAGTAAAGTAAATGAAAATAGTGCAGGAAATTGAAGAAGAAACATAGTGACATGACGTGGTTCAAAGTTTTCAATAAGAACGTTTTAAAGAAGGGAGGGAGGATGTTGAAGATACCCTAAACGGCCGGTGACTCCCAAAAAGTAACTTGAACATAAAAAAAGTGACCAAAATTATTCGAAAAGACCTTCGATTAAATATTGTGACTATTCTTGATCATATGGTCATTAATAAAGAAACTGTGAAGAAAATTTTGCGTGAGAAACTAAATATGGGGAACTAAACATTGGAGTGCATTGAAAATGGTGATAACTTGACGGAACATACATATGACCCTGAAACTAAGAAGTAAACTATGCCATGGAAGATTCCAAACTCTCCGAGAATCCGAAGATAATGTTGTTTGTTTTCTTCAATATATGGAGTGTGATTCACATGGAATGTGTACCGAAAGGTTTGACAGTTAATCAATATTACTATTTAGAAGTTTCCCGAAATGTGGAAAAAGAACTCTATCCACCATCAAGACAACTTGCCGATTCACAATGCTCATTCTGTTATTTGGCCAAAAACCAGGTCACAACCATGGAGCAACCGCCTATTTGCCAGATTTGATACCCTGTAATACTTATACTTGTTCCTAAAAAACGCAGCTCTTCAACAACCTGTAAGTGGATAATCTGCAACACTGCTTCGAACGATGGAAACTTCGCAGGAAACAGTAAAGAGATGCAAAAGAAGAGTATAATGAATGTGAAAACGAAAAATTATAAAAAAAATGCTAAATAAAGCTGTTATACAAACAGTCTCAGAACTTAATTACCACACCTCGTACATATTTCTATCTAAGTCGGGAATATTTTGGTGCTTAGGTAAAGCAGGGTTTGTATTAATCTTTTTATGTTGTCTTTCTAGCGCACTTTTTCTGTTAGGTGTGTGTGTGTGTTAGAAGGGGCTGCATCTTAACGATGCAGTTATCATGCGCGTGTGAAGTTGGGTATCGACATACCATGTATACGGGTATAGGAGTACAATATTCCGCTACACAATACACCAGTGCCTTGTACATCGCAGAGTAACAACTGAAGATCACCATGTTGTGTCATAAAGATTTATATAATTATTTCTTGTTTTCAATTTTCGAGATGTTTCTTAAATAAGAGGATATAGTCCAGTCGAATTCCTAGGTATTTAGGATACTTATTATTTGGTAGTGTTTTATCTTAGAACAGGATATTTAATTGTATGTGTACCATTTTATTTTTGAGCAGCATATTTTAGTTTTGCTAACACTAGGAGAGTCTGTTTTTTAAATATTCCTTTATGTTGATGCCGATTCGGCAAAATTTTTTATTTCGGACGCCAGATTATCCCGGTGAAATGAAAATGGATAAATACACAACTACTTCCTAATTTAGAACACCCATCTTTGATTGTCATGGACAAAGCACCCTGCCATAGTAAAATCATGAATATGTCTTCATGAAACAATAAACTTCCACTAAATGCTAGATTATGCAAAAAGTAGTTATGGTTTCATATATGTTTCAGTTATTAATTGATTCTTAATTTAACTGATAAAACTCAATAAAACTGATTGATTTATACTTGGAACGTGATTAAAGTATAACAGAATACAGAACGAATTACAAACTGTATTTACTTACCTGTTGCAATAAAGCATCCGTGAGACCTTCTTCGCCATTGGCAGCTGTCCAAGGAACATATTCAAGATCTAAAGTCTTTGTTTCTTCGGATGGTAGAAAATTGTTGATATTTTGGTTTCTAAATTGTATAACTTCATTAATGACCGTCTGGAAATAATTAACAAAAAAAAAGGTTAAAAATTGTGTATTATATATTTAAATCAAAGACTGGCGAAGACATTTTATTGAAGGCTTGTTGAAGAAATTTAAAGTAAAGAATTTTTAAAATATAGCGTGTGGGAAAATTATATTTGTGTGAAAATAAAAGTAAATAATAATGATACATTGTTTTCTTAGCTTATGAACTGTGTTGTGAAATGATTTCCTGCTATTTTTTCATCAGCGATTGCGACATAAGACATTTTTTAACTGTTGTTACCAATAATATTGATAATACTCTTTCGTTTTAAAACTTACCAATATTATTTCGTTTGTATCGTGTACATTTTGTGCTATCTGCGCCGGGCTTAAATCCGAATGAGCAGCATCCTCACAACAATTTGCCAATTCCTGGATGACAGTGTATACCTTACTGACTTCTCTATAAAATACGTCTTGGTTTGTAAGACTGTTGCACGGTTCCGTTTCGTAGTTATCGAGGGCCTTCTCGATTGCGTTTTCGAGTAAAAGGTTATTCGGTAGACTTTTCAATATTATGGCAGCGGAGATCTTTTCAACGTACTCTCCTAAAAAATAATATAATGACAAAACTGTTATCTAAAAATATACATTGAATATTTCTTTTATTTTTCTTAATAGCGGTCAACCCCTTCAAAAAACAAAAAAATATATATTTATTTATAAATACCAATAAATACTGACTAAAATATTGAAACTTTTAGAATATATCTTTATATAATGTAAAAACGTATCAAATATATTAATAGCCAGTGAAAAACGCGCGAAATGCATGAACACAAACTGCAATCATCTTTCTGGCAGCATATTCATTAGCTTAAGGATGGTAGTACACTAGCTGTACAAAGGCGTGCGTTTTCTTGGCACTGAATATAGAATAAAAAAAAATTCATAAAAAAAAGTAAAATAAACTTACCCAGAACATGAACTGTAGCCATTGCTGTATTTCTAATAGTACAACCAGACAATTTTTTCCATAATCCAGAATCCTTAATAAACTTCAAATACAGACTAATAGCTTTTTGTTTGTCTTCTAGTTGGTGCAACACCTGCATCGAATACGAACTTCCGATTCCAGGTGGATTATCTCTCGTCCAACGAGGGTCCCCTGCTGGTATATCATCTATTAACTCTTTACACATTCTGATTACTACTTTGTCCAAAGCGCTATTGATGCTTGGCAGTGTATAGCTATCGACTGGGAATAGTTCACTAAGTATCTCTTGATATGCAGACTGAAACAATAAAATCATTGGAGGTTTTTTCCACGAAATATAGTTATAATGAAAGTTGTAGCATTTTTGAATTCCGTTCGATTCAGTTTTAATTTACGTATTTTAAATTCCATTTTGTATAAGGCTTTAATCTACTTATTACAAATCTTCTAAGGAGAAACAATTGAATTTCTAACAGGAAGACATACTATGGGTGTTTGTTTATACAGTCTTAATTGCACCGAATAATGCTTTTAGAACTGCGTCTCACAGCTAAGCACAATAAGTGTTGAGAAGGAATTTTTTTCCGAGAGTCACTTTTCGTCTGATCAACGAGGAGACCGATCTGCGAAACTATGTGCTCACCGGTTCTTACCGGCTTTTTTAATTTGAAAAAATCTTTGGAGATCAAATATATCTTTGGCAGTAATGTTATTTGGTGATAGTATGCAGTCAATGAAATATCTAACATTTCATCCAGTGCTTGAGTGAATTATTTCTTAAAAATTGAGCATTGCATGAAAATATTACATAAAATTAGGACTTACTTGTTGGTTGCGAATATGGAAGATAAACGCTGCTTTCATTTGTCCAATAGTATCTTTGTATGCACTGTGCAATTCTTCCGGGTCAATAGTGTACACGGATAAATTATTCACGACTGCCGTTTCATTAAAAGAACTTTCAAGAAGGTTATGCGACGTCAAACTTGGATTCATTAAATCCTGATCGTTGCCACAAACTGCAATAAGTCCATTGATCCTGGAAAAGAACACCGGAGTGTTGATACACACGGAGCCACCTATAAAAAAATAATTTCATATGAGCGGAATATGAATTAAAAATCTTATGAAAAGTACATTTTATAATTGTTATTTGATGTTTCGATTTCCACTCCGGGAATCATTTTCAAAAAAGGTTTTAAAATAGTGATCTGTTAATATAACCATTAGTTGTTTGGCGGTTATTGTGTTCCAAATTGATGGGTGACCTACTTGGCTTCGATCTTATAGACAAATAGCCCTGCCTAGTTGAAGATTCTGAGGGTGCTGTTTATACTTAATAAACTTATGAGGATGATATCAATCGAAGAGTGTTTTGTGTGTATATATTATATGTTTATATATTGTGTATTGTATATGTATTATAATTACAGATGATGTGTCTCTGACTTTCTATTAATCCGCTAATGTTGGTATATTCTTGATGCTGACTTCAGTTTTTAGTAGCAGCAACCAGACCTTACTACATTCTGCTGATGGATTTGTTACATGTTTTTCTTCATTAAGTAATATGACAGCTATACTTATTTGATTTTTCTCTTTTTCAAGTCTGTCATGAGTGTCAATTTTTCATGAGTATTGATGCATCTTTCCATTGTACTCTGTGCTCATTGTCATATAAAATTTGTTGTATTCACAGGATATTTTATAGATTAAGTTTGTGATGCCTCTTGTATCTTGTTTGGTTTGGTTTGGACAGAATAGAGCTCAGCATATTGGTCGTTTTGAATGTTATGATTTTGTATTTGTTTCCTATCCATTTTAATTTTTTTAATAAGCCCTCTGCATATGGCATTGTTATCTTTAAATCCCTTCTTGTAAGCGTTTTTGGATTACTTATGGTGTTTTGTTGTTTCCTTTCTTCAATATCGTGAAATTACTTGTTTATAGATGACAAGGGGTAATCATTTTTTGTTAATACCTTTTTAGCAGGTTTTTTCTCCTAAAGCAGGTGTTTCAGTCTCTATCATATAATGATTTGATAATTCTCTTTTTGATGTTTATTTTGTTTTCTTTCTCCATGGTGAATTTGATTGATTCTTCTTTGCTGTCGATGTCTGTCAGAAAATTATTCAATCCTTCTAGTCTGTGAGGCCAACTGAAGAACACATCATCTACATATCTCCACTATACTTTGTTTATGAACAATTTTTGTTCAAAATCCTCCATGAAAATATCTGCTAATAATGGAGATAATGATGAGCTGACTAGGAGCTATTTTCATGGAGGATTTTAGACAAATCATAGAAATGAGGCATCAGACAATGTTGTTGGATGTTTTGACACCAGTCACATATTATACAAGGTAATATCCCTGTTGTACAAGTAGTAAATAAATAGGGTAACTAAATCAACCATGAGTTTAATTCTCGTTACACCTTCTTAAATTGTTCAAAATGGTCTATTCTTCTAATAGATATAATTCTTAAACAATATTAGTTATGCATTATTTAAGGAATTTTCTAAAAATACAGTGCTCATTACAAGACATTCATGTAATATTCAGCTGGGATCCATAATTTTAGTAAATATAACAAATTTGTTGTTCAGAATATTGTCATAATAAACTGTTTTGATTTTATTAATATTAACTTTTTCAATAAACATTGTTGATTATTTTTTAATTAAAATATATTCCATATGAAAATACGTCGATAGCAATTAAAGTAAACTGTATACCCAAGCTTAATCAAGTCATTCAGACCCGTGCTGGGAATAATTATATTCCACTATGCACCAACAATTTACCCATATAAATTACCATCATTCTTGTACTCATTGCGTCAAGTAAGGACAATAAATATATGAAGAAGGTTGCATTTCGATTTAATTAGAGTCTCTTACCACTCCCTGACACATGTTTCTGGGTCTTCTTAAGAAGTCTTCTTACAAACTCCTTCGGGTAGGGTAGGGATGACGGGTAGACCCAGAAACACGTGTCAGGGAGTGGTAAGAGACTCAAATTAAATCGAAACACAACCTTCATATATATATATATATATATATATATATATATATATATATATATATATATATATTATATATATATATATATATATATATATATATATATTCATATATATATATATATTCATATATATATATATATATATATATATATATATATATATATATATATTATATATATATATTCCATTATGTTATAATACGAACCTAATAATACATCTTGGGAAGAAGTGAATTCCAATACATCTGGTTCCTCTTGAGGCCGAATTACGGTAATAGTTTTTGAATTATACAAGTATGCACTGGTACCACATATTAAAAATCTGTAAGACAGCGAATCTGAGGGATTATCATCTCTGTATAGTCCAGTCATCATCAAAAGAACAAAGTCTTTAATTTCGGGAGTACCATCGTTTGTAGAAAATGAGATCATTGCATAATGAACCTGCAAAAATATAGTAACCATATTAGTAGTATTAGTAAAATAATAATCATCTACATACCCTTGGTGACATCTGCATGTTGACTGCAGCTGCTAGAATAATAATATTGTCTTTGTCAGTTTGTATATCCAACAACCAAGTATCAATGTTCTGACTATCCATTAACCATGTATCCATCTCAGTTTGATCCCATGGTACTTCTCTAAACTTTTCCCTTAGAGTTATTCTAAATTTTTCTCTCACTGTTCTGTTCAAATCAGACATAAAAATGAGTTGTTCATTCTCATTGCTCGAAAGCGTCCATTTTTGCAGTGAATGACCCGCAAGTACATACACTGTCCATGTGCTGTCCTTGTTTGGGATGCTCAATACACGAACCAAGCGCTAAAATAGATGACTATTGATATTCTAGTATGTACACCTGTTAAAAACTAGTTGGTATTGTTGCAAACAATACAGTAAAAAATATTTATTTATTTAAATGATGATTAATAATACTTTAATAGACATAAAAATATTTTGAGTAACAAAGTTAATCATTCAGAAAACACATGAAATAAAAATAATTTAAGAATTTAAATTTTGTATCATCAATTTTGGTTGGGAACTATTTATCATTTATTGTTTCTTGTACCATATGAATCATTTCATAAATAACTGGACAGCTTGTTTGTAACATATTAGTGACTCTCTCTTACATCTCTACTATTGGTTGTACAGTTGAAAAAGCGTTAGAAGAAGAACAGAAGGTTATACAATTAAGAACCATCCTGTATAAGAAAATTCACCTAGAACATGTTTTGAGTTGATTGATAGACAAATGTTCATATGTTGGAATTTTTATGTTAACACCTTCGCTGCGTCACCAGTTGAAAAAGACTGGTAACTATGTTTGCAGAAATTATGGCTAAAAATAAATACACCATCTGGTGAGTAACATACAAACGAAACGCATGGGTAAAAACTAACAATATAGGTACCTATATTAATGTCTGAAAGAGATCTATCTAATAGACGGATAATAGTACCAGTTGTATTTGAGTGGTAATGCATACAATTTATTTATTTTCCATCGTGAGATTCCCAGATGAATTCATCTGGTGAGTAATTTCATTTATAATTGCCAGTTCAGTTTAGTTATCTCGGTCGAGCCATAATAGTGTTTAAAATATTTGTAAAAGAATTGAGTAAAATGAATAGTAGAACTGTTAAATTAGTAAATTTGGCGCTGCAAAATGCAACTACAAGTGGTAGTTGTGTAGACCCCAATCAGAATTTGAATCGGCACCAAGAAACACTTTGAGCGAATCAGAGGAAGAACCATTTAGCTACAATTCGACCTGTGATTCTAATTATGCTCCTTCTGAATGTTCAACTAATTCAGATAATGATGAATATATATCAGTTCCGAGAAAACATATACTGACCAAACCTGAAGGACCTGGTACCAAAAAAAGGCAAAATTGTATAGAATGCTACGGAGAGCTGAGGAAAACAATGAAAAGTAAAGAAGTTGATAAAAAGGTCACTAGAGTTATACATACTGTAGCATATGCGAGGAAAAACCTACTTTATGTTTACCATGTTTTTGTAAAAAATATGTATTTTGTTCTCAATAAAAGTTTTGGTTTTATTTCATTTGAAAATATTATATGAAGTTCTTAAAAAATTCAGTTTTTGCTTTACCAAAAGGAATAGTCCCATACTGATACAGTTTCCTGCAAGTTTGTATATTCCTTGTATGTATAGAACTATTACTACACATAAATCTTTAAAAATGTACAGATAGAGCACATGCATTTCTTAAGAACTACCAGTCTATTGCGACTGGTGTATCTAAATACAGAATTCTATAGTACCAGGCAATTGCAACTGGTGAGCATACAACATAATAATTAAATTTTTCGTAATTGCAGTGAATGTGTAAGTTAGGAAAGAGTGTTTTATATTGTTCCAACTCTTACTATATATAAAATTAACATTTGGATTTTTAAATAAATTCATGAATATATTATATAGTACAATTATCATTAAAATTAATATTTGATCTTCTACCATATGACCCAAAAAATTAATATAATATACTAACCGTTTCATTAGATTGTTCACTGGAAATAGGTCCAAAGATAAGTGAAGACATCCTTCTACTAATCCCTCCTAACCAGCCACTTGGAGTTTTCAGTGGCTTACAGTGCAACAAATGTCTTCCACTAATAATTTGGGGTTGAACTAGAACAACAGTACATGTGGTTGTGGCAAGAACACAACCTAGACCTTCAGCATTTGTTAAGCTATCACATTCTTGACCCTGAAGATCTACAGTTTGTTCAACTGTTACTCCTTCATGAGCAATTGCAGGCCAATATCTGAGAACACCTGCAAAATCAAGGAAATTAGATAATATTGTCTGTGCAAATGTATGTGTATCCAATAGATTAATATAACCTTGGAAACCAGTTATTGATATTAAATGTTTTTCAGAATTAAAAACTAAAATTAATAGTATATACTAAGAAATTGTCATATCAAATAGTTACGCAGTCATTGGGACACTGAGACACTAATAGAGCTTAAAAGTGATATTAGATCATAAATACACAAACTAAACAAAAATAGCCTAGCTACGTCACTAATTTGCCCTCGTATATTTTCCTTTTTTTAATATGATAAACCTTTGTTTTATCACTTTAATTGAAGCAGCTTTATTTTATTGATTAATTGCATGTGAATAACTTTTTACTTTTAAGTTACAATTAATATTGACTATGAGTATGTGTGATTGAGTCTATAGTAACGTCCAGCCACTCCCAGGTGAAGTCAAAATTTGACCAACCATACAAAAAAAAATACCTATTAAATTTACTACAGTTGGGACTGGGTTTAGTGAATAGAGTATTTCAAAGAATTAAACACATATCTTAGATTTACCTTCAGGGGATACAGCAATACACGAAGGATTATTTGATCCAGAATTGATAAAAACTGAAACCAGTTCAGCTCTATGAGCCAAATCACTTTGAGGTAGTTGGAGCTCAAAACATTGGTTTACAATACCATGTTTTCTTTGTGGAGTTCCAGGGGCCGAAATACTCTGACGATACTGCCATATCAATAGTCTTCTTCCACAAACGACCCATGCATATCCACATTCTGATATCCCAGCAGACACAACAGTGTTCCCTAGAAACAGTGGCACATTAATGAATCATCACAAAGTCAAATAATTGGCTTTGGACTTAAATACTATTATACTTACTATCCGCAAACGTTAGAGCTTCTGTTATAAGAACAGGTAAGGATTGCCCAAACCTTTCAACATAATTATTTGTAGATTTTAATACTACCTGTACCGATTGTGTGGACTTTCCTGATATACTCAATCGTCTAAAAAATATTAGTATTAAATGGTATTAATAAACGTTGAAATTAGCTATGCTTAAACTTATTTTGCTTAAAATATAAACTTACGATGATTTTCTAAAGGAAGCCGGCAAAATACGTTTTGAACTAAGACTAGTTCTTGACCTGGGACTAAATGGACTTTTCACAGAAATGGAGCTTTGAAAACTTTTATCCATTTTAAACTTATTAAACTTCAATCATTTAAAATAACACAAGCTGGCAAACAGATTAAATTCGTTATAAAATTACTAAGGTTATGTTATTTTGATGTCAAACACAACATGTCAAATAATTGATGCATGCTGTTGCTGAATACCGCTCATCGAGCAAAAAGATAAAAGAGGGAATGTAAAGGTAGTGGGGGCATAAATATTGTTAGACAGGAAGTGCTATCTTGAGAGGCCACTTTAAACAAGGAAAGATAGTCTTTCCTTGTTTGAGAAGTCAAATTTAGTTTGGTTATGTTATTGTTTGTTCCAACTGTCACATGAAATTTTATTTATATTGAAGTTTTTTACCAATTGTGTCACTTTTTAGACTATTATAGTTAATATTTAATTAAAACTTTCTCGTCTGAAAAATATTTTATAGCTATTTGTTAATAAGTGTTGGAAAATTTAAATTTAGCGCCTTTGCATTTCCGGATATGTCCGCCATCAGAGGCCACTTTTTTGGTCTCCTTTTCATAACGATTAGATTCCCTCTTTTATCTGTTTGCTCGATGATACCGCTACTTCATTTTTGTAATTTTATTTATTATATTTATTATATATTTTATTTATTTATTTTTATTTATTTTGTAATTTCTTATTTTTTTTAAATAATTTCTTATTGGAAATACAAATATTTTATATATTTTATTATTATCCGAATATTATTAAGTTTAATTTATTATAATAAAATCATAGCTCTATTTTTTGTTACAAATTAAAAGCTATTAAAAAAATAATAGAAAGGGAATAGTATTTTTATATATTTTTGACGTGTATACTGTATTTATACTATTGGGTCTAGGAGGTAAGCAAGACCACAGCAAGACTGCTATTTATGTCGAGATTGCAGACGGTATGATGATGTCCCCTTTTCGTTAAAACTCCTTTGCTTTTCTACGTTGATACTACAACATACTTAAAGCATTCACAGCTTGTATGTGTACACAGTAACTGTCTATCTTCTCTATCTTCTTTATATTATATAGTCCAGACGTCAGAGAGTTGCCTACTAAAAATCATAGGAACAAGCTGAATTTTGCAGAGAACATTAATTTGGGACACCAAAAAAGATGCAAAAAAGTTTACCACTTTTACCCCCGGGCTTCTCCCTAAAACTTCCCAGGAAGGGTGGTAAAAACGCAAAAAATCGATTTACTAAGAATCTGTACATCGTAGAAAAAAATGTTTCAAATAAAAAATATAGCTGAGATAATTTCAAACAAAAATGTTTATAAGCATTTTTTTATGTAAAATAAACCGTTCTCTTTGAACCAACGCTTGAAGCGACCATCGATTTTACATGTCAGTTAAGCGCGCGAAAATTCAATACAATTTGTATCAGCACGACGGTAAAAATTAGATATCTTTTGATTCAAGTGTCATATCGACAAAAATCAAGATGCTGTTTAAAGGTAAATAGTTCAGCTTTCGTATGCAGTTTTTGTATTTTGCCACAAATAAACTCAGATTTTATGCAGGTGTTAAATAAATAAAGGTGGCCCGATGTTTGACATTTTTTATGATTTTCGTGAGATCAATCAAATTGATCACTTTCATTGACCAGTTGTAGTAAAATTTCCATTTTTCCATTTTTTTAAAGATCAATCTTTAAAAACCTATGACATGAAATTTCAATATTGAGTTGTGGTAACAGATAATATGAGGTATTTGAAATGCCGCAGAATTTAATGTTTTACATTACAATCACACGTCAAGAAGACGGTTTTAGGTGTAGTTTATTGCAGAAGTTTTGTTCTTTTGAAAAACGTACTAGTCTAATTGAAAAAAAGTTGCATAAACTTTTTTGTGTATGGCATTTTTGTCTCTGACGACTGGAACTGTGACTGGAGTATATAATTTATGTTTCATATCTGCCGAATCTTGTGACAGCTCATTTTTTAATTGAATGCATTGTTCAATTGACGATTATATTTATTTAACTTTATATTCTATTTCATTATTTAAAAATTTTAAACAAAATAATTAGTAATCTGCATGCATAATTTACTGAATATTTATTATTTACTTTTTAACTTTTTGAAATTAAACGTTTCAACCGTTAATGGTTATTTTATCAATAATAATATACAAAATATTTCTTTAGAAAATATTAGTTTAATGTCTCAAAAAAATATTGATTTTCTTTGAAAATTTTAATTTAACACTAATTTAATTTGTTATTCTTCTTTATGGTAAGATATTAAATTTGATATTTTACAATATTTTTTTTTATTTTTGGCAAAATTTTTGGTGTTTGTCACGAAAAATCTCCTTGTGTCAATGTCAATTAAGTGACGTCATATCCTTATCTACCTACTTCATCCCTACCAAAATATTTTCCCCTCCATAATCTAGTGTACTTCACAATGTTGTCTGTTGTTATGGTTTTATAAGAATTGTCAGAAAAATGAATTTGAAAGCACACGTCATCTAAAAGTATCAGCGATCATTTTATTTGTCTTATAATTTATTTTGATAAAAAATGTATAGAGTACTACATTTGAGAGCTAAATAATTAAAATCTTAAATAAAATCCCATTTATTCATTAACACTGTAGCAATGTACTAAAATCTCAAGTTCGTGTTTTAAGGAAAAGGAAACTATATTTTGCAAAACATATTTTGGGAAGTAAATATATAAGAAAATGAGCAGTTAGAAAAACAATTTAAGTATGTAAAAAGTAAAGAAAATGTTGATATTCTAATTAATATATTTTATGAAAATTATCTTTTTAGGATTACTAAAAGGCTACAAGGTGGTTAGATGGAGTTGAGTCCGAAGTAGGGACGCTAGAGACACAGTTTGATGCTAAAAGAATTATTTAGCAATATACTCTGTTAGAGATCAGAAGATGGCCAGACGTTGCCAGAAACCGAACAGAATGGCGACGAATCTTAGAACAAGCCAGGATCCACAGAGGATTGTTGAGCCGAAGATGATGATAAAAAGGCTACAAATTTACAAAGAAAAAAATAAAGAAAAAGTGAAAATTGAAGTCTTAAAGGAAACAAATTTTTAGGTGTCTGAAGAACACTTCAAAGACACCAATAAATTGTTACCAGTCTTAACGAACCCATGTCAGATATTAAAATGTGAATTAAGAATTAAATAAGTATTCACATAAAAGCAAAAAGGAAGGAAATATCAATTGCAAAAGGCTATAAGTAGTGGACTAGTAGTTACTTAAAATGTGAAAAATAATATAACATTTTTATAACTTTATTATGCCTTATGCCATTCCAAAGTTGATATTTAAATTGATAAAGGTAATTGTCAAATTATCTTCTCATTTGATAGCACTATTTTATGATGGTCAAACTCTATCAAAATTTAATATTTTTAATTTTATACTTATCATTAAAAGATATTTGACGGAACAGAATTTTCTGGAGAAGTCACTAATTACATTAAAAGTAAGCTTGGCAACATGGACCACAGAATAAAATTTGGAGTTTAGTTGAAATATTCGTATATAAAATAATATGTAATTTTACTGTTGTTAATTAACGACAGTGGTTATTTTTTGTATATATTTAGGTTTTTAAGTAAATTATTAATAAATAAGAGTAATTTTGCCTTTTTACTGATGTCATTTTCAACTAAAAATTATATAATTGTCTATGTTCCCACCTCTAGTTTGATGCATTAGTAAATGTCAAATTTATTAAGAAAATGTCACTGATGCGATAGTTCTTTAGTTTTATTGTAGAAAAAAATTAAAAACTTAAAAATTAAAATTAGTTAAGACAGTTGTATATGGACATGAATGAAGCTTTCTCCCTAACATGTGAACGTGCGTAAACGGTTCCCGCGCACTGCGTGCTCCTAGTATTTTCATGGCTCCATGGCATATCCGCCATGATGGCTTTATGCTCAACACGCTCAACATGGAAAGTTTCAAAGTTGTTTTATCGTATTTGTGACTGAGTGCGTGTAAATAAAAACAATGGGAACGTACTAAAGTAAACGAAGAATTGTTTAGTGCCCTCCTCGAACGGCCCGAGGGAAAGGGAGCTAGTTTTTAGGAGGTTTTATGTTGGCCTTGTCGAGTGTTTTGTGCTGTCAACAAATATGTCGAAGCTTTCATTTAGGGCGAGGGCCCTGGATGCTAGCAAACCCATGCCTATATACATGGCTGAGGAACTCCCGGATCTTCCTGATTATTCAGCGATCAATCGGGCAGTTCCTCAAATGCCATCAGGAATGCAAAAGGAGGAGGAATGTGTAAGTTTTCTAAGATAGACTTCAGGCATTTGTTAACATAGTTGGCGGCCATGTTGATGGTATTCGCGCTCCCATGCGCAACCGGCGAAATATTATTTTTCTAATGGGACATCACACTGTACACACATTTTTATTAGATAAAATCACTTTTTATGTGTACTTATTAAAGTTAAAAATAATAGCACTATGTTCCAAAGTTGACATTTGACTACAAACACTATCGAATTTTTGGCAAAACATGTTACTACTATTGCGGATACTAGATAAACAATACAGAATTATAGAATTAAAACTTTATTATTTCTCTTTATAATTAGAGTCTTAGTTATGATTAATTATTTATGAAATTATTTTCATCCACTATAATGACATTTGACAGCTAATTCTGATAGAAAATTTAGATTTAATATTTATTTTTTTGGGTTTTATTCCAACTAGACCTAGAGACATAATTCTAGTAATATCACCTAATAAGTACAATGATTCCTTGAATTATTACGAATAGCAGGTTTACATCAATTACTTCCTAAGGCCAAATATTATGGTAAACATTAGTAAAAACAATGTTTATAAAGAGTAACTTGTGGGAATTTAATTGGGATAGAATTTTAACTTTGGTTAAAATGATTTCTATTTCAAAACAACCAGTCATAATATTCCTGTTATTGAAATTACATAAATGTATAACAATTAAAATGGTATGATGGGGGGCTTTAGTTTAATATTCACTAGTGCTCTCTAGGTGCACTATATTGAATAAAAGTTTTCAAATTAATACATTTCACCACAATGATCTAATAATTTTTGCATGAAAATTGTACAGAAACCAGAAAATAAATGTAAATAGT